AAGCATGTCATTGAGCTTTTGATGTCCCATATAAAATCTAAAAAATAAATTATACAAATTTTTATTTTTTTTAGTCAAGTCATTGACATTGAACTTCAAGAGCTCAACTTCATTTTTTAAGTCTTCTTTTGCTTTAGTCAATGATTTATTTTTTAGTTTCAATTTAGAGGCCATTTTCCTATATTTCATGCTCATATTCTCAAATTCTATAACTAACTCATCATAGGTATCTTGTAGTTCATCAAATATGTATGAATTTAAATCACATAAATTAGAGGTTACCTTGGACTCATCAAGAGCCATGAGATATAGATTGGCTACTTTCCCTTTAGTTATCTCCTGTTGTGGTCTTCTTCTGCTGGAGAAGTTGTTCATCCTCATGAACTTCTTAAATTTTTTTGCAAACATGGCCATCTCTTCATCTTCATCATCTTCCTCTTGTCTAAAATTTTTTTCATCTTCTTGAAAGGTATATTTAAGAACAATGCCACATTTTTTAATTAGTTATTATCCTATTTTGATTTTCATTTCATAAGTGAAGAGAGAGCCCATTAGTTCATCCAAAGAAAGTGTGTAAGGGTTTTTGGACTCTTCAATGGCTATCACTTTAGCTTTCCAACTCTTTGGTAGACTATTGAGAATTTTTTTCATCATTTTCACATTTGAGTAAGTCTTTCCAAGAGCCTTTAAACCATTAATGATGTCGGTGAAGCGGTTTGACATCTTACTAATGATTTCATATGGTTTCATCTTGAATAGCTCATAATCATAAGTGAACATGCTAATTTTTATCTTTTTCACTTGATTGGTACCTTCATGAGTAACAGCTAGCTTATCCTAAATTTTCTTTGTATTTTGACACAAAAAAACTCTATTGTACTCACTTGACCCCAATGCACAAAAGAGTGAATGCATTATTTTGACATTGAGTTGAGTCATCTTCATGTCATTGATATCTCATTCACTCTCTAGCTTGATCACTTCCCTACTATCCACCACTTTCATTGAAATTTGATGACCATTTACAATAACCCTCAAGACTTCATAATCATTAGTTTGAATGAACAACCTCGTTCTAATATTTCAATAGGAGTAGTTGTTAGCAGCAAAGAAATGAGGTCTAACAATTGAATGCTCTTCACTTTCAAGAGATATTACAACTGTTTCATTTACCATGAGACACACCTCTTGTTGGCCAGTATAGTTGTTATAGCTTGATGATGATTTTTTCACATTGATTATCATATTTTTTGAGCCATTTTCAGGATCACTCTTGGACTGTTAAACCTACAAAAAAGAGTACTAGCTCTGATACCAATTATTAGCTAAAAAATTTGAAATAAATCAAGATGAGAGGTGAATTGGTTTTTAATGAAGTTTTCAAAAATAATATTCAATAAGCATAAATTTTGCTAAACAATTAAACACAATAATTAAAAATAAATAAGAGATAGGGATAGAAAATATAACACCGCGATTTATAAATGTTTGATCCTTCCTTAGGCACCTACGTCTTTTCCCTTAACCTCTCTTGTCAAGGAGTTTAATCCACTATATGTGTTAAAGATTACAATCAAGCTTCTTAAAACTTTACAAACTCAACACTACACACTCTTAAGGGTTATCCTCCCCCTTAAGCTTACAAACTCATAATATAAAAATTTTGAAGTGTTTTGCAAACTCTAAAAACCTCACAAAGGTTTGGTGTTTGTTAATTTGAAGTACACAATAGTATAGACAAGAAAATAGAGAGAAACTGATATAAATTTTGCACTTTTCAGACTTGAAATAGCTTTGAATGCTTAAGCAAATTGATAGGTGAATGGCAATACGTTTTCTTGGCTTTTGTTACCCTTGGTCTACAGTGGAATGCTTGATTTATAGGTAGGAAGTAGTTGAGAGCCATTGGATAGCATTTAATGCTTCAAACTTGCAAAAATTTCAGACAAACAATAGCCATTGAGAGTTTTTAGCCTTCAGGGGATCGATCCCTTGTCTTAGGGGATCAATTGGTTCATGTTGGAGAAGGCTTGATTTCGTGCCGAAATTGCCTTACCCAATTCAAGTTAGGCAAATTTTTGTTTTGTCAAATCAAAACTCTTGATCAATTCAAAGCCAACAATCTCGTTTTCAGGATCAAGTGATTATCACTACACCAAAATCTATAGCTAATAGTGAAGACACAACTCTATTTTTTTATTCTTTTTTGGTAGCGCAGAGCCCCATACTAAGCGATAGGTAGATATAAGAACGATTTCGTAAAGCCTTCATGAGATACCTCACCTATTGGGCCTCGACAGTTTAGATTGCCATACACTAGAATTCGATCTACCATGAGATACTTCACCCAGATAAACCAATATACCAAGTCCTTTAAGGGATACTGTTGGACCTATAATCCAACAATCTCTCCCCCAACGGCACTTGGGGGACTCAAACCTGCAATCTCACTCTAACACCAGTTTTTAGGATCAAGCGCTTACCACTATACCAAAAGCTATAGCTGATAGTGAAAGTGTAACTTTATTTCTTTATTCTTTTTTGATAGCGTAGAGCCTCGTACTACGCGATAAGTAGACATAAAGAGCTTCGCAAAGTCTTCATGGGATACCTCATCTATTGGGCCTCGATAGGTTGAGTTGCTATACACTAGAATTCGATCCACCATGAGATACTTCACCCAAATGAATCGACATACCGAGTTCTTAAGAGAGACCGCTGGACCCCATAATCCAATAGAAGTGTTAAGTTTTTTACTTATTGTATGTGAGCAACATCTAATTTCTCATGATCTTGAAGTTATAAATTATATGAATTATGCCAGCTAAGCAATTAGATGAATTAATGAACGTATTATATCGAGTGAAGACATTATTATGTAATTACATAATAAAAAATTTAATTGATCATATTGATTGACTAATTAACTATCCTTATAAATTTTATAATAACAATTTGGTAAAGTTTTTTGGAGAAAGAATTATAAATACAACAGAAAAGAAATGCAAATATTTGTTAAAAAAATATTTTTTTGGTAAAATTAATTAAACCCTTTTTTTTTAGAAGAAACACAAATATTTTATATACATATTGACATTTAATGAGAAATTTACCTACATAAGAAATTACTTAAAATTTGTTGACACATAGAAAAAATCCCATTTTACTTATTTTTAAAAAAAAAAGACACCATAATTTAAGGATAAAAAAATTATAGATATTAAAATTTGAAATTGTTGAATCTCAATTCTTAAAAATATTACATAAATTAATGGATTCACTCATTTTACCTTTTAGTTTTATGGAAAATAATCCATTTTTGCATTATTTAAGAAACTAAATTGAGAAAAGTCCATTGAATAAAAGTTAAAATAAGCAATTTTTTTTTTTTTTGGCATTAGGGATGTTAATAGGTAGGGTATGGATAGGGTAAAGCATTTTCATCTCTATTCCTATACTTATACTTAACAGAAATTTTAAATTTATCATCATCTTCATCTTTATGAGTATTTAATGAGTATGGGTATTATCCATACCTATAACTTTAAAAAAAATTAAAAACTAAAATTTTTTTAGTATTTTTTTTATCTTGCATATTTATATAATTTTTTTTATAAATATATATTAATATATATTTTAATAAAATATATTAATTTTAATTAATTTGAAATAATAATTTATTTTATTTAATAAAAAATTTATATATTAAATATATAAAAATATATATTGGATATGGCTATGATGGATGCTATATTATACATCCTCATTCCCATACCTAATAAAAATTTAAAATTATATCTATTTTTATCCTCATACTCATAATGTAATATACACATTTATTTTTATTTAGATAAAAAATTAAATTTTCTATTGGATATGGGTAAAATTAACATCTTTATTGGCATTGAAAAAAAATTCAGAATATTTTTTTAGTGCTATAAGCGTAAGGATGTGGCCCAAAAGGTCCGGGCTGGTTCTACAATTCCACGAATGTTTACGTTATCCTGTCCCAATCCAAGGCCCAATACCTAGAAACACTAGGTTAAAATGGCAGAAAGCCCCCGGCGAGGATCGAACTCGCGACCTTTCGCTTACGAAGCGAACGCACTACCACTATGCTACGGAGGCGATTTGTGGTGTAATTGTTCTTTTATTCTAAATATTTATAGATTAACTTTTCTTGTGTTCTTATTTCCAGCCCCCATTAAATATTTGTTAACAGTTACAGATCTTATGTTCTTATCTTGCTACACTCTTTTTGTACAAAAGAAAGTTATATATATACATATCGCTAGTCTATTGAAATTAATAACAATAATTAATAACCTCTTTTTTTTTTTTTCTCAAAATAGTAGTAATAATAACCTTGTTTTTATAATCCAAATCGTGCACACAGCATATTCAGTCCACAAATACCATAATTTATGAAGAAAAGAGCAAAGGGATTTTAGATGTGAGTAAATATTTTACTAATTTTGTGGGTGGAAATGAACTTGGAGGGAGAAGTGTAAAATTCACGACTTCCGCTTGATAAATGATAAAGCTGTGTTGATATACGCCCTCTCCTCTTCCATTCTTGTTTTTTTTTTTCTCTTACAAACTAAAGGGGTTAAGATCTAGAGATAAAGGTAGAAAAAGAAATTGTAAGTAGATATGATAATTTAAAATATAATATGATGATATAATATGAAAATTATATAAATAAAAGATATAAAGATAATATGATTTAAAATTTTAACAAAACCCATAAATAGTTTTAATAAAATAAAAAAATATATTTTATATTTTTGTGTTAAATTATAATTTTTATATAAAATACGATATAAATACATTATTTGTTAATATTTTATACAACACAAATAAACGAATTACTAGGTCTCATTGTATATGCTGAAATTTTAATTTAAAATTTATTGGATATAACATTTTCGAAATTATTGTATGAACTAATGAGTTAAATTTCAAGTTTAAGCTGAACTTGGTCACTTGATTTGCTTACAAGACAAAGAACAAAACATAGGCTATAAGCTGATCACCAGGAATAAGATTAGCGTAAAATATGAGCTCATATACAAAGGGTCTCATATACTTGTTCTTACAAATAGGTATGGTGTCATAATCTGAGAAGGTAACATTTTTCATGACATAAAACAGGAATACAGTTCTTGATTCTTATCCATGAATTATTATGCTTTCATGCAAAAACAAAAAATTTAAATCAAAACAGAGGAAGAACAAAGGTGAATGAAGAAGAATTAGACGACATTTTGCAAACAGTTTACTTGGAAAACAGCTGCCGTCGCCTAGTTTGCTTGGCCCGTAAACCACCCCCTTCACCAATCACAATCTCATCAACTAAATCCTTAAAGACCAAGCGTTCAACATCCAGCACCATCCCGGAAATCTCACAGTTGAAATCTGTCCAACTCTCCGATCGACACATTACATCTTCCCACAAGATGCTTTTCAGACCATCCTCCTCTTCCTCCAGGTTGGACTTTGATTTCTTGGCTTGAAGCTGCTCTATCTCCAAACATAATTCTTTTAGAAGCTTTTGTGCGCTGAGGGTCTTCTTTGCCAGCTTGCCAGAATAAATCCATGGCTCTGGATACGCCCCAACTAGAGCCAACTTTCTGACAAGAATCTCATTAACAGAATCAAATATAAGCTTCCGGTGGAATTTCTCATGGTCTGGCTTTGAATGGGAAACCTTTCCAGCGTTACTCTCTTCTTTTGATAACAAAGAGCTTGCTTTGGTTTGCTCCAAAACAAAGAACAGCTCTGGGTTAATAGGATGGCCTGATGGATGGAGCTGAAATGTTGTCAGGCCAGAACCAACATCTCTCAGTAGAAGGCCAGAGGCTAATAATATCTCAGAAATGTATCTGTGATCAGGATTTGTATTCTCACAAAGTGATGCAATGTAATCTGTACTGGCTTCATCATGATTGGAGTTCAGTCTTCTAAGTTTTTGGACCAAATGCTCAATGTTCTGTAGTTTCTTGCGATTAATCTCTGAGGTAAGACCTGACCCCACGTTGCTAGACAAACACTTATCTGCAGGGATCCATTGCTCTTCATTGTGATCATCATTGAAACCTTCAGCACTATAACCTGACACAATGAACGTTCAAGTGAGATTTTAGTTCATAGATCCCTTTGCATCTTTAAGTATAAGAAAATGACAAGAAGACAAGAATTATTTGTTCATTTGTTAATCTAATCTCCATTTACTAATAGAGCTATGCTTAAAGTTTGGTAGAGGCAAGTTTTGGCTTAAAGCCAGTCTAAGACTCATAGCAAATTGAATTAAATTGATGGCCTGCACTTTATGCATCCCAATACAACTGCAATCTCTCTAATATAACCTAAAGGCACAAAACCTTGCCTCCGATAATATTGGAAAAAATATTCATGCTGCTGATGAGTAACTTCTCTTTCTATTAGCTCATTTTTATTCCATCAAAATTATTCTCTTTTTTGGGAGAATGTGTTCAGTAAGGGTATGAATTCTCAAAAAGCACTTGGAATTACTCCATTACAACAATAGTAATGGTGGCAAACACAACGAAAACTAATGGTAATACAATTTCCTTTCTTCTTCATTTTGCCTTGTGCATTTTCTTATTGTACTTTGTGGTTGTTATCTGGTTGTTGAATTATTACCTTCAGGGGTGTTCATTATCTGCTTTACTGGAGATGGTGCATCATCTCTATAAATTGAGGTGTCAAGAATAGAAACTGGACTTGGATGTTCTGGAGCAACCACAGCAAGTTCTGCCTCCGATCCATCTTCAACCAGTCTTGATGTTGATTTCTAACAAAACAAAACATGACAGGTAAGTTAATGTAAGGTAAGCAAAAAGAACAAATGGATGAATGGTGAAGACTGAAGATTAATATAACCTACTTTCTGCATTATGCCAGAAATTGAGTACTTCACAGCCTTCATGGATGGGCTTTGACTATCATTAATCTCCATAGTTCGTTCATGACAGGTGACTTCCACATTTAACTTGGACTCCAAGATAATATTGCTGTCTGATTGCACAGAAATGTCATCTCCTTGGTGACTTGAAGTCCATGATTCAGTACTTATCTGACTCAGTTGGTCATCACATTGCTGCATGTTCTGAGATTTTTGTCTATGTTTACCACCAGAGGAACCTGACTCTGACGAATGCTGGTTGGATTGCCTTCTGGGTTTGCTTGGATCAGATGGAGGAGTAGGTGGACGAGATCGCCTGTCCAATTCAAGCTTTTTCTGCTGCAGTCTTGGGCTCACAGATCCTGAATTCTTTACTGAATTCATGGTGCTTTCTTTTGGAGGTTTTGTTGAAGACTGTATAGGCCTAATATTCCTGCTACTAACTCTCTTATCAGTAGAGCTGGCAGCAGAATCACTACGACCATTTCTGGAAGTATGATCTCTAGCTGCTCGACTATTTATTGAACCTTGTTTATTATCTACAGATACCCCAATCTGAATCTTGGGGATACTAGAAAAGTCATCTATTGGAATTACTGTTGAAGCATGAATACCAACTTTCTCAACAAGTTTTGCTGGTTTCATGATAACAATTGGAGATTCATATGTTCTAATAGAATCTAAACCCCTTGTAGGCGAACTGGTGATGCGAGTGTTCTGTGGACTTCGCTGGCCTCTCAGATTCTGACTGGGGCTTGTACAATTTGGTTCATAGTCTCTTTGAGTCACCAAGCTTGCAGTTTGTTCTTCTTTCCTGGTCTCAAGGAGTCCCTTTGCTTGCATTGCTTCTATTATCTGTTTAAGAGCTCTGAGATCCTTTCCAGATTGTTTAAACTCTAGATCTTTCAGTCTGTTCTCAATCTCACTATAAACTGAAGGGAAAGAATATGGAGTCTCGGCCGGAACTTTTACATGTTTGAGAGGTTGTCTCTGAGAACCTCGACTTCCATCCACATGTCTCCATGGTGCTGGTTCAATTGGGAACCTTGAACTGGAAATAGGTTTCATGACCAAATCAGGATTTTTCCACCGTGGTGATGTTGGGTCTTTCACTGAGCTTCGTGTAGAGTTAGAAGCTCTGGTTTGCCAGTTCAGATCATTTGCTCTTAGTGACTGTGAAAAAGGATTTTTATCTTCAACAGAGCAGGTTTTAACCACACCCAACTGAGCATCACCAACTGAGGAAGAATCTGGCAATGGTTCCAAGCCCATCAGCTTGGCTACAACATTAGGAGGGCGCTTCTGGGCTCCTGGTGATTGCGGTGGATTAGTAACTCTGCTGTTCAAGTTGCAACTGTTATGAAAACTTTTAGTAAGGTAATTTGCACCCCTCATTGACCTTTCTCTACTATCCAAAGAAAGTCTTGGCAGCTCTTTTACCTTTGATGTTGATTTGAAGGTGTCTCGTGATTCAAAAGATAAACGATTAATCTCTCTTCCATCATAGGAAAATCGTGGGGCATCCCTTGAAATTGAATTCCATAAGCCATTTGCTTCATGTGATGATCTTCGAAATTCTCTAGCTTCATTGTTGTAATACCAAGGTGTTTCCCGGAGTTCTGCAAGAACTCTAAGAGACTCCTTCAGATCAGCATGCACATTTTTCTTTCCGTTGATCCCAACACCATAAGACCCATTCGCTGATTTAGGAAGCTGAAATGGTCTCGGTGAATCTCTATGCTTCACAGTACTGCCCGATACTTCCTCCCTGGTTGTTGTTTTATCCAGTAGTCCTCTGGCTTCTCTATACATTGAGTCCTTGACCACATCTCGGATGTCAAGGCATTGTGACCCTAAACGTGGAGAAGTACTTGGTTGGTTCATCACTGGGTCCCTAAAGCGAGTTTCAGGAAAAAGGATTCTGTCAAAGGAAGAGGCCTCTTGTGGAGCTGTTTTGTTACAATCCAGTGATGACAAGGAAGATGAGCATGATGATGAAAAAGAGGCTCTTGAAGATTCTGTGGAGATTCTTTGTTTCTCATTCACGCTTCTGTTTATATTCATTTCCTGGAAATAAAAAGACTGTAAGGACAGATTTCCACAAAAACATGGCATCGCCTTGTTAACTTTCTACAATTATAGAGGCAAATTGTGCACTTGGCATCCATCTAGGGCCAGAAACTATGCACAATCAGATTTTGGAAAGTTTCTTGAGAACATAGTCACAGCCCTGGCATCAGTATAGAATCATGATATAATATTGAGAGCAATTTATATGTTAGAAAGACCACAAACCATCTATTCTTGCATGATCCTAAAAAGGAGGTAGGATGGGGGAGGGGAGGGGAAGAGAAAACACAGAAAATTGCTGGGGACTTACTGTTGTTGTGTGTCGATGGTATGCATTTTTTGAATCTCCTTCCAGGATTCCATTGTTCAAGTGGGAATTACCTGTAATGTTGTGAAAGGATTAGATGGTCCTCTAGACTGCACTGCCATTGTTTTTTAATGTGAGCTCACAAAATACCGAAAAAGGACAAGAAAAATAATGAGATCGTGCTTTAAATAGAAACACAGCTTTGAGAAAACTATGAAGAAATTAGCAACTACAAAAATAAGGGGTCAACATTATTATTAGAACACGTTGTTTATGATCTACATCTACGTATAACTCTTCAATAAGAATTTCAGACAACAGCATAAGTTCAAAAGTTCGAAGAATGCCACCTCCATTCATCAATGTACAGAGAGCAAGCAGTTGAAATCAAGACAATTAGTTGGAGCATGGACCGCTCTATAATAGTGTTACTTGAATATACATTTATCATCAACATATACATAATTTTTCCATTAAAACACAGAACCTAACATTAAAATTAGACAGAAACATAAAAATATAGATGTCAATAGATATTAATGCTGTTGGATATGGCCAATGCTGGCAATGAATTATACAATTGAAATAAAAAAGGGCCTTGACACAATTTAAGCCTTATATGAGTATTGCATCAATCTCTCATGAGTACATATTAGACTTCAGCAAAAACAATTACTTTTAGAGGAAAAATTATAGATTAAGCAATAACCCAAAGAGAACTACCTGCAGGAAGCTTCCTTTGGCTCAGGCGCTTAGTGGTAAGCATATGTTGACGATCAAAGATTTGAAAAATCCCAGTCATGCATCCAATTTGCTTCTGCAAATCTGGATTGTCATCTGCCAATGAATGTAGAAGCTTTGCAGCCATCTTCTTCTCAACTAACAGAACCTAATGCTCGTCCTGCTTCCTATAGCTTCATCATCCTTTCTCCAAACAATGAAATTGCAACCATCATTTCCTCTTTCACCATAAAATTGGATTGAAAGGATATTCAATAGTGCTATTTCAACCAGTTTATGTGCTGTATGAGATATCAGATGCCTGAGCAACTCTTCAAGGACCCAATTGAGAACCAGTTCTATTAGATAACTCAGAAACCGAAATACAATTGAGGAACCAACAAAAAAACTTTGAACTCTCTAGTTTTTTCTTTCTCTTTTAACCTCTTCTAACATTTTCCTTAAAAAAATCCAAATTCCAAACCACAGATTGTGCTTTTATCCAAAACCCTTAAAAAGACAAAGCACTTCCCACATTAACTGCAAACACTGCACATATGAAAACAGAATTCATCAAAATTTCAGATAGCTTCCTTCTGCATTTTTAAAACTCCTCATAAATCACTTTTGAAACCCAGTTTTTACATACAGCTCAAAACCATAAACTTTGGCATCTCACAATATCAAAATTGGCTTTTTTGCAATCAAAACTCAAACCCCACAAATTTTCTTTTATTAATGTTAAGATCCTTTTATTGGCTTTGCCATTAAATACACCAAAGCTCAAACTTTTTCTCAACAACCAAACAAAACTACAAAAAAGAAAAAGAAAACTTACCAAGAAACCAAAAAATTACCTCTATTGAATATATACATCAAAGATACCTTAATGAGATGTCACTGGCAATGAGAAATGCCTTGTGTTAATCTCATAATACAATCAAAAAGAAAAAAAAATATTCTTGTGTGTGTGACTGAGAGAGGAGGGAAGAGTAAGTGTTTGGAGGGCATTTGTGGGTCAGATGTGATGTTTGTAGGCTGTTATCGCATACAACCATGATTCATCATCCATGTGGGATGAGTATGTGAGTGGGTCTGCAGCTGTCTGCATGGCATGTGATTCTGTCAGGAAAGAGACAGAAATAGAAAGAGAAACAAGAAGCACAAGAGGCATTGCTCCTCTCTCCTACAAACTAAAAGTGGCCTTCTTCATACACTTGTCACCTATTCATTTTCCAAACTACCCCTCGTTTTTGTTCTCACCCCTCACTCTTTTTGTTAATAGGGTAAGGATTTTTAAAATTTGTTTAGATTTTCTTTAAAGCTTTATTCAGTAGTATAGATAAAAAAGGAAAAATAAAAATTTGGAGGACAAAAAAAAAGAAGGAAAATTATTTTTTTATAATATTTTTAAGGAAAAAAAATAAATTTTTTGTCCATTGCTTGATACCATTGAAAAATAAAAAATATATTATTTTAGTATTGAAAAATGAACTAATAAATATTTTTGTCCATTAATTGATACCATTGAAAAATGAAAGTAAAAAAAGAATAATAAGTATATTATTTTACTATTATACCTATTATAAGTTAAGATAAAAAATTAAATCTAAAAAAATGAAGAACCTGGGAATTTGATTAAATTATTAACATAATTAAAGTTTTAGAACCTGGGAAAGAAGAACACGCAGGCATTTGGACATTCTTGTATTGTCATTGCATCTTTCCCTACTAAACACAATTTTAATCTAAAAAAATAACAAACTTAAAAAAAAAAATGGTTCACACTTCACATTAAACGAGCAATATCTTAGCATTGACGAAGCCCAGTGGTGACATTAGGCGGGCAGAGAAGGTTTAGATCAATAGCAAGAAAATAAGTAAATTCTTACGAATACAAAAGAGACAGGAAGTCTTAAACTTTAAGATTTTATTACGTGTAGATTTAATAATTTAGTTAAGTTATAATTAATTAATGATGTAATAATTAATTATATAAATATAATATTTTATTATGAATTTGATTATGAGTGTAATTTCAAAAGAATTTTAAGTTTTACATATTAGAATATAAATATTTTTTCCTATTCATATTACATTTTTATTTAGGATTTTGTTATGTATAAAAATTACCTTAAAAGCCTGATGATAATTTGTAAATCCAAATTATACATATACATGCAAGATGGATGATTTATAAATTTAAATAAATTTTCATTAAAATTTTTGGTATGCTATGATAAAAAAAAGGGATAACTTCTCTTATAGAGGTGAACAATTTATTGGCATGGTTAATTCGATTTGAAAAATCAATAATCAAATTAATCAATTTTTATTTAATAAATAATTAAATCAATCGAAAATTTTTTAAATAACCGATCATAATCGAATTGTTCAAAATTGATTTGTTTAAATAAATAAATTTCTTATCATTTTTTCATATTATAAATAATTATTTAACTATAAATTCAATTCAATAAAATTCAAATTTAAGGTTTATTAAACTAAATTACTAAAGAATTTAAAATTTTCAGTAATATTTTACAAAAAAATTAAAAATATTCATCTTATATTTTTTACTTTTATTTAATAGAAAGTTGATTAATTCAATCGATTTGATTATTAATTTTAAAAAATAAAATTGATCAAGTTAATCAATTTAATCGTTTTAAAATATCGATTATAATCAAAATTAAATAGATCAAACTGAATCAATTAAATTCACTCGATTTTGATCAATCTAATCGACTCAAATTAATCTTTACTCACCTATATTTCCTTCATTTAAATCAAGCTCCAAAACTATAAAATAAAGCAAGCAGGTATAGAAAATCACAAGGGCCGGTCATAATAAAAAAACAAATTCCTTTCCTGCAAATTTGTAGTTCTCTCTTTTAATTTCTTTTATTTTTATCGTTGAAGCTTGTGTGTTTCCTCTAGCAATGAAGTAGTTGGACAAAAAAACAAGTACCCAATAAAATAAGGTGATCACATCACCATACATGGAGGCCATTATGTCCTTCATTTTTTTTAAAAAAAATTTCTCAAGGACACATTCATCATTGAAATTTTTTTCAAGACAAAGACTAATTGGAAAAAATTAATACTAGTAGTAATGATTGTTTATTTTTTTATAAAGAGATTGAAGGAAAAAAAATTATAAGTTTTAAAATTTAAAATTTAAAATTATTTGATATCATCATCTAATAATTATTTGTTAATTAAGAAAGAAAAAAGAAGGATGATTAACAATCTTTGGATGAAGGGCATTATTGTCAATATGAAAAATCATTGAGAGGAAGTGTCAAATTTACTCCATGGGCATGAGGTGGTGTCCTTTGAAGCTAACAATAACATTGCAACAAAATTTAATAATTAATGGAAAAAAAGCTGTGAAATATTTGATGATAAGCAAAGCTGCTGAGAAAATGCAATGTCAAATGGTATGTCTGATTCCATAGGGACAAGGCTGCCCACCATTTTCATGCTTTGTCAAGCTTCTCTTCTGATTTCTGCCTGTAATTTCACCATTGACCCATTAATTTCCCTTTCAACTCTTCTGCTCTCTCTGTCATCTATAAATGCAATGTCTCTTCATGTTGAAGAAGCAAGCATGTCAATTAACCCCAACAATGCAGCCCTAGGTACAAACAAGTATATAAGAATTGTAGTTTTCAATAGGGGTTTTTAGTTCTATACATTATACATATGAAAAAATATTTAATGTATTAGCAAAATTTCATTAACGATTTTAACAGATTGATATATATATTAAAAAGCAAATTCTTGAATCTCATGATATTTGTTAATAGATGATTTTATAAGTTTGAAAAATCTTAAAATATCCATAAACTTAAAAATTGAGTAACCTTCTTTACTCTTAAATTTTGTTTATACCAAAGAAAAAAAATATAAGTTCTTGCAAGAATGAATTTCAACACTTAACATTTACAATTTTTTTTTTTTAGATTTTTCATAGGCTTTGGCCTCTCGTTGTTAAAAAAAAAAAAAAAGAAATTCAATCTATTGGCAGCATCAATAAAATTTCATAAAATAATAATTTTTTTTTGGAAATTCTATACATGGGTTATGTTAAGTTAATGAAATAAAAATTGATTAAAAACCAACCTTCCAACTACTTTTGGAAGCAGTTTGTTAATTTGGCTTATTCCATTAATCAATTCTTTCAATTACCTCTTTGCGTAATAATTTATGACCTTGATACATGATTTACAATTTTTTTGGGTCAATAAAGATTATTGTAATGAAACAATTAATATTATATAATTAAAATGGGAAATAGAAATAGTTATTCACCCATCCATAGTCTAGATAGAAATTAAAATACTAGAAAATATGAGATTCTTGTTAGCCATATATTCTAAAAAGAAGAAAATAATTTATTAAGAGAAAAATAAAAATAACAAAAGGAAACATTAAATTAAGTTTAATTAATGAAAAGGAAAATAATTATGTGCTAATGAAAGTGATGACATGCATGTGTCATTATAAGGAATAGCTAACATATTAATAGCCTTTTCTACTAAAAAAAAAAATTAAGTCCCTACATCACTATAATTTTCTTGTGTGTGCCTTCATTTCATTATCCATGTTTATTGAATAAATACATAATTTATCCATTCAAAGAGACAAAGAAAAAAATAAAATTAAAAAAGAAATTACGTGATTATATAAGTATATATATATATATGTGTGTGTGTTAACGAAGACACGTTTTTGATATTTTTGACCAAATATATTGTAACATTATTTGCAATACAATAAAAATTAAATCAACCCATTGGGGTCTTTAAATAGCGTGGCCCCAAAATGCTTCACTTACTCATTCTTATGTGCTTGTCTAATTGAAGATTTTTTTTTCTCTATTTTTAGGGTTGAGGAATACAATTTGACTTATTTTGTCCAATATATATATACCATTTTGTTAGTCTTGAATATTTCTAATGAAACATGCCTTGATTTTTTCAAAATTTTTTTATTTTTTTTAGTTGATTAATTATTGCTTGTTTATAATTTCCTTTTTCTTTAAGCAAGGTTAATTAATTTTATTTCTTATTTGAACTTACCAATCCATTAAATCTCATCATATCCATTTCAAGATTCAAGCTCTTGATTTTCAAAATGAAATTTAGGTTTTAAAAGGCTAAGGTATCTTGTTGAAAACATTAAAAAAAAAATTGATTTAAAATAAATACCAGAAAATATTAATAAAAAAATGGAAAATATTCTCTTAATCTTTGTATGGTAAAATCTTTAACAACAATTTTTCATGACTTAGATGCAATTTTTTTAGAGACCCTTTTTAGTAATTTTTCAAAATGTAAGAATAATAGGTGAATGTTGAAAGCTAATTAACTTCATATTCGCAAATTAAACTTTTAACCATCATTAACATAGAATATTAGGAATTAATGAAATGACTTGTTCTTGTATGTGACATCCCAATTATAAACATGACCTTCAATGCATGGTGTGCATGCTAAACACATGATTGCATCCATTAGGTTTCCAGCATTAATAATTGATAATTGGATGATAGTGATATATATTGCAACATGAAAAAAAAAAAAATTGCAAGAAAATAAGAGTTTTATTTTAATTGATTCATATAATCATTATTATAAAAATACTATTTAAATATTAATAATTACAATTTATATTTTTATATAAAAGATTCGACAAAGTAAAATGTATGCCCACATGCAAAAAGTGAAGAGACAACAAGTGGCATGCTTGAACTCTATTTGGGAAGACCAACTAACCTTTCCCAATCATCTTAATGCTCATTTCTCAATTCATCCCCTCTCCTCTCCTCTTGATTGCCACATTGTACCTTGAAAGTTTTTTTCAACATCCAAGTATCCCCACCATAATCATCATAATTGGTACATTGATAAATACACATCATCACAATATCAATCCATGGGAGAATAATAACCAATCAAAACCACTAAAATTATATCAAATCAACAATTATCTAAATGTGATGATGATGCTGATAAGAGAGACAAAAGAGAATAATTATCTCATGCTTTTCAAAAAAGTATCTTGGATTGAGTGAACATGAAACAAGCAAGGGATCTCATGTTGTAAGCCAATAGGATCAAGGGATATATATTATATTAAATTATATTATATTTTAGGGTCCCTTGTTATTTTTAACCTCGATAATGTTTGAGAATGACAAGAGGTTGTAGTTGTAGATATGATCTTAGGTTGTAAGTAAAGTGGATTTTGATTGAAAAATCAGTTTTCCTTTTTTGATTAAAGAAGACAATGTTATGAAGTTTTTCCTTTTAATAAATAACAATCAGTTTTCATGGTAACCAATTACTTATGGATATGGTAGATACCAAGAAAATAATTTATTTGAATCAAACAAAAATTTTCCCAACATTTCAACCTCATTAATATTTTAATATTAATTCTTTTACGAAAGAGATCACAATATGAGGAAAAAAATTATAAATTATAAAATTTAAATATTAATTCTATTAAATATTAACTCTTAAATATGATAATATTAACCAATTGAGTTATAAGATTGTAAATATAAACCGAATATTTATTTCAATAATTAATAATATATTTCTTTTATTCAAAAATTAGAAATTGAATACTCTAGGACATAGAACTCAATTTCTTGAGATACATGAAAGAGTTGCAAAATTTTAGATTCAAATTTTATTGTGTATGATTGTCTAATTATATTTTAATTTATTAATTGATTATTTCATAATTATAATTTAATTATATTGTAATAAGTAATTATTCAATTGATTATATAAATATAATATTTTATTATAATTATACCGTAAAAAAAGGTTGTAAGGAAATAAATATGCAATTTAATGGAGCCCTTGACCATATAATTTAGATAATCCTAAATAAGGTATATTTATAATGCCGTTTGGCTTTTACACTTAAAGAAAATATCAAAGCAGATTCAACTTGATTCATATAGATCCCAAGTGAAACATTACAAACGAAGAAACCTAGCTGGAATTTTTTTCACTATCCATAAATAAACTACACAGTTGGTTGCATAATTACTTGATAAACAAGAAAATTATTAATTAGGCAATTAAATGAGTTGTCTACCGCCATGCAAACAACTTAATTATTGACAGATAATTATTATCATTATATATAAAAAATAAAAATAAAAAGGTGTAGATTTTTTTTCCTGTTTAGATTATTGACGAAAGTACAAATCAGAGGAAATCATCGTCTTCCAATGATTTTAACAGTTATAGAATTGCACTTTCAAATCATTCAAGATCCAAACACATCTATGGCACTTGCCTTGGCAGCAGCGGCAATAATAATAATAATAATAATAATAATAATAATAATAATAATAAAGGGGTGTCACCAACAACTATATCAACCATAAATTGAATTGGTTAAGGACTTTAAGAAAAAGTATGGATTAAATTCGAATTTTAGTTCAAATGATTGATGCATCGCTCTTAAAAATTAATATTCAATACATTTAAAATTTAAATTTCAGCACTTATAATTTTTTATTTTATTTTCTAAGTTACAATTTTAAAAAAAATAGTATGAATTAATAATCATAATTACCAACAATAATTAATTGGTTTTAATGGGCTTTTTCTTAGTTGTATGTTGGGCCCAATAGTCTCACATTTATGTTATTGGAGTGGGGCCCAAATTAGAGTATTGGGTGAGAGGTCCATTGAGATTTTTGAATATTAAAAAAAAAAAAACACAAAGGGGTGAGATCATAAATATTCCTCCCCCTAAAACTAGTCAAGGCACATGGAAGCTTAAATACTTGGTATCCACTTTTTTGCCTGATTGCAAACAACCAATGCGTTTTTGAGATGTTCCTCAAAACTGAAGGCTTTCTCTAAACATGGTGGTTGGGGTTCCCAAACAACTTGCGATTAAGGGATGATGATGGTGACTGACGAGGAACATCAAAGATAGATAAGAAGATTCCGAAAATGTATCCATCCCAGTAATTTCAGTCCCAGACATTATGTTTTTACTTTAAAATTTTGTATTATTTACACAATTCCTACGTTTTTAATTCGGATTATTTCTAGCACACATGCACACACCTGTATCAAAAGGCAATGAGACAGGTCAATTTTGGGCCATATTTGGGGGTTGAAACATTTACCATCATCTGTAACATACCAACTTCCATGTAAAGATGTAAATGATATGTATATGTACGGACTTTATTATATTAGTTATTTATTTGCTTAATTAATGAACCACGAAATGTTGTTTGTAATCATTTATTAAGTTTAATAAATAAATATTAATGAACAGAAATCAAGTCTATTTGCAAACTATTCATCACAAGTTTCGTTCGTTTACACTCCTATTCCTAGGCTCCAGCTCTTATACTTTTACCATCATATGAAGAGGAAAAAACACAAAGCATATTCTATGAACTGTCAACATGAAACAACATAAATTATTGCAATTGCTAGCACTTCGATTAATCCAAAATATTAAAAAAATTTATGGATAACAGAAGTTGACTTGGCAGTTTGCAACAAAAAGAAATGCCATCTCAAGGAGGAAGCCAACCAGTGTATACTATAGAAGGCCTATAAAGGTTCTATGATCAGCAGCAATCACAAAAAAATATATGAACCAATAGTTTCTGCTACATTCGAACAAACTCCAAATGCAGCTTAGCTAAAAGACACCCAATTGAACAATTTGTTTTGCAGCTTACCATGAAAAATCCATCAATATCGGCAAGGGAATTACTGGACTCGTCATGTCTTATCGTTTATAATTTGGCAGTAGAAATCCCAATGTGGATTTGACTCTGTGATAGCCGGTTGCCCAAATGGATTTTGCTCAACATACTGCTGAACATTCTCTGCTGCAGCTAAACCTTCAAGATATTTGTGAATATCTCCTCTGCATGCTGTTGCAGATCTCATTTAACAATTACATTTGGAATAAAAATTGTACATAAGGACAAATAAACAAAGGAATTAGGTACACTACAGATGACCATCAAGGCAAACTCTAATAGCAGATTTGTAACAAGAGTTGGTCTTATATAATCAGGGTAATGATCCATAAAACTGCTAGCTTTTGTCTTTGTTTTTGTATTTTATCCAATTACCAAAACATAACTAAACTGTCACTAGGCATATGTTCAAATTACAGGCAGCCAAAATCACTTGCACCCAAAGACATTGTAGGAGTTTTTTTTTTCTTTTTTGAAGAACCAAGCTTGTAGAATTGGTTGATCAAAGTTAAACGAAAAATTAGGTACAGCAGAAAACATTGACAAAAATTGAAAGTAATTTCCATCAATGATGTTTCATAATACCTAGAAGATAAAACATGCGCACAATTGAGTTGCGATAAGGGCTAGAAAACTGCACAAGTATGAAGAGTGATATTGAGCAATTTCACTTTTCCATACTGTGAATGCAGCTTTATAACACAGGAACACATGCAAATACAAAGACGAAAAAGTATTTTGGCCCAACAAGTTTAAGGTTTCAATAGAGGTAAGGGTAGGATTTACAGAACCTATTTAACAAGATCTAATATTATTTTTTCCCTACCATGAAGAAGACCAAATAGGTAAGATTAACCATATGCCACCTATGAAGGCTTAGATAATATATGGCGGTCCATCTGTGGCTGTACCTTTAATTTCCTAAAAGATGCTAGTCCAAGTCTTACCTAATGAAAAATCCTTGGCATCCCTGTAGTTGTAAGGATATGGAAATACGGCAGTGTTTGCCTAACAAAGAAAAGATTAAGGCAAGCATAAGTATTATAGCATCATAAGAATTTCAACAATTTAAATTGTTAAATGAAGTCACATGCCCCAAATGAGGAACCAAATAGACGAAAAATAGTTGAAAACTCACAGGATTCCGCAAAGCCTTATATGGGGAATCATCCAACAATAATGTGTTTGATTCATCATACTCTCCCTTCTCCCATGGAAGATTAGGCAAATGCTTCTCCCATAACTTTCTTAGTTCCTTCAAAACAAGAGGTTTATGTTTATCCTCAATAGTTTTGAATTTTGTTATTGTACATTGCTTTCGGCCCTGCATGAAACCCACATCATGAGATAAGGAAGTCATACACAGCAATAAACCCATTGATGCATCTACAAAAGATGATAAAGATTAAGACATTATTAATATCATGCAGGATAGGCAATAAGGTAAACCATTTGTCAGGCAGAATCTTTAAAGGCAAAGCAGCTGAAAACTACTTCACCATATGTCTGTGTATAACAGCAGACGTTAACATTTGAAATAGATATCAACTTGTTAGCAGACTTCAGGTCCACCCTAATGCCAACCCTTTAAGCTTGTACTAGGAAGATGGATGGGTGTAAATTTTAGTTGTTCTGTTGTCAACCCTAGATACTAAGCAGCTAGATAACTTACTATTGCAGCAGGAAACAACTATGATAGCACATAAATATGAAACTCCAAAGAGCCGAATCTACCAGTTTGCCACTAATTTGCCTATAAAATGAATCTCTAATAGTTTGCATTTGCAGTAACAGAGCAGCCTTCTTTCGAAAACCTCAAGGAAGGTACTGTAAAAGGATCATCCCAAGGTAGGATGCTAGGAACGATGATACTGAAAAAGCGAAGGAATTCCAATGAGAAAATCACCAGTATTACGCACCCCAAAAGCAAATGTTGATAGAATAAGTAAGAAACCTTAGTCAAGGTTGGTCATGACATAGCAAGTCTTCATAAATATTACAAAAAATGTCATGCCACTTTACCCCACAAGAGTGTCCATGTCTGGCTTCAGTTCTCCTTCAGTCAAATCTAAACTTGATTAAAAGTAGGTTTGTTTTAGAACCAGCCAACATAAACAGAATTTATTAATTTCAAAAAAAAATAAAGAAAAAAGGAACCAAGCTAGATTCTTTAGGATCAGTTTGAACTAGACTATTTAGGGCGTTCATACTTGTGATCCAATTGACCAGTTTGGATTGGTTAGAGCTGTTGGGTATTAGTTTATGTGTTAAGTACTATATTATTATACGTCATAACATATGGATGTAAGTGAATTATCATGTATACTATATTATTTAGGTAGATATGTAAGTGAATAGAATTGTATTTAGAATAAAACGTATCATGTATATTGTACAGTTCAGTTTTAGAATGTTATTTATATCTTAAAAAACCACAAACTAATTGTTCCCAGTTACAAAATATCAACAGAATTGAAAGTACCAAACAGATGAAACCCCCTTACTTAATTAACTAATCATGCAAGGGTAGGCCATTGATCAAAGGCCAAATATATGATGAAAATGACAAGAAGAAAATGAAATACACTAATTCCCTAAACAAAATTTCGGTCAATTATCACATTTATCAGCAATAGTTAAATACCTACTGCCAATGCTACTTACCCAACAGAAAAGCAGATTATGTCTCCATTTTCTCATAAGAAAAGTAACCAACTTGTTCACATTCTTGCTGCAACAAAAATTAACAGCAAGATGGTCAAGGCATAATGCTATTCATTAAGGAATATTACATTCTCAGGTGCACTTATGTATTGCAGCAACTCTTAAAGAAAGAATAGTTAACTATGGGTCAAAAAATTCCCAAGCAGAGGAGGAGCATACTAAATTCTTGATGACCAGATTCCAACGTTAAACGTCCTAAAGCAAAAGTTGAGAAAATCACCACAAAATGGTCTCTTGAAAACTGAAAAAAAAGTGGGCCGCAGTCAAATTAGAATTAATAGAAGGCACACAGAGATTTCAAAAACATCTACTTGAAATATCATATTTTACCTCCTTTCCCTGCTACTTTAATATCTGGCTGGAATTCACCTGGGTTTTGAACAACATCTACAAGAATTCCATTCAAATCAAGCACAAGAAGCTTTTTCTTAGGACGGCTAATGCATATTCTTTCAAGTGAAGAGTACAATGTTCGTGACAAATTGTTCTCTTTAACATTAGCCGTTAGTGCAACATCATCTTTTGCAGGAGACAATTTCGACAGAGAAGGAATAGTTTGTTCCATCTTGGTTTCTATCTGGACATCCTTTTGGTCTGGATACTTGGACAAAGACTCCTTCAACGTCTTTCTTTTCTTTCTTTTTCTTCCTTTGAGTGCAGATTCACTGCCTGTGCTATTGCCAAACGCTTCTTCCAAAGCCTGTGCTGGCATAGCATGCCTGACCAGTACTCCATCTGACCCATTTGCTGAAAAGCCAGTTGTCTGTTCCTTTTCTAAATGGTCAATTGAAGTCTGTATCATACCATTCTTCGGCAATTGTTCCAAACTATCTCCCAAGAGATTAGAAGACTTTTTCCTTTTCCGGTGATAGGTTTTTACCGTCTCCCCTATCTGTAAGGTTTTGATATCTTTTATTTCCGGCAAAACAAGATTCCCATCAACATGGAGATCTTGTGCTTTCACCATACTAGTACTTGCAGTTCGTGGAGAATCACTACGCCTTTTCTTCATATTTTTTGACATAAGATCCTCCTTTCTGAAATCCTTTCCATTAGTTGTTTGAAGTTCAGGACACATATTGTTATTTTCAGCTTCATTATTATCCCTGTTATTCCTCTTTGCAATGATATCATTATCCTCCAAAGCACTAAGCCTTCTCTTCTTTCGTTTTTCCCTCTTCCTCTTTCTTTTCCTTTCAGATTGAACCCTCTGTTCATTCAATTGAATCCCCTTCAACCCAGACTCCAAACTAACATTCTCTAGAGTCTGTACATCAGAATTTGGCCCTTCCTTCAATCCTGACTCTAAACTAACATTCACTTTGGACTCCACATGAGAACCACTTTGCTTTTCATCTGTCAAAGAAATTTCTTTCCCATCTCTCAACTCTAAGCCAGACTTCCCATTAAATTTCTCAAACTGCCCGGCTTTAGCCTTTTTCCGCTCCTTTTTCTTTCTTTTCCGTTCCGAATCAGTTGGCTGTTCATTCAATTGACTTGACTCTAAACTAATTTTCTCCAAAGTCTCCCAATCTCTTTCCAAGAGAGTATCATTCATTAATGAATTTGACCCTTCCTTCAAACCTGGCTCTAGACTAACATTCAACTCAGACTCTGCACGAGAATCACTTTGGTTTTCACCCATAAAAGAACTTTCTTCAATATATCTCAACTCTACAACAGACTGGAGACCCTTTTTACGCTCCTTCTTCCTTTTTCTTTTCCTTTCTGAATGAGCCGGTTGCTCATTCAATCGACTCCCCTTCAATCCAGACTCCGAACCAACACTCATATCCTTCATTAATGGATTCGCCTCTTCCATCAACCCTGATGACTCCACAAAAGAATCGCTTTGCTTTTCATCAATCAAAGAATTTTCTTTTCTCTTTCTCTTCCTACGAGAACGATTCGATTGCTCTGTTTCTAAGTAGGAATCCTTCCTTAACGAATCTTCCTCTTCATGCAATAGCGAATCTAAACTAGCATTAGGCTTCGAATTTGTTCCAAAAGAAGTTTCTTTCTCTTTCGATTCAGCATTTGCATTTTCAATAGCTTGATGCTGCTTCCTCTGCTTCTTCATTTTCTTCTTTTCTGAACCACTCAACTTAACTTTCGAAAGCGAAGACTCTGAAACACTTTCAACTCCCATTTTTTTCATAGAATTTGAAGGTCGATCCTATTTTTATTTATCGGTAATTAGAAACCAAAAACAAAAAAAAAAAAAAAAGGAAGACAAACAGAAAATTAAAGCTGTATCTCAAAAATTTGAAATGAAGAAGCAAAAAATTTTCACCAATCAGCCAAAAAATCTTAGTAAAGTTGAATAAGGTTTTCAAAGAGGAGGGGGGAAAATTTTAAAAGAGTACCTCAAATTTTTAGCAGCGCCGCCCACTAGTTGCCGTGGAGGTAGGGTTGTTCCGTTTTTGAGTTGTTTCTCTCTCACCCTAAATAGTAAAAGAAAATTTGATATATTTTTTTGGGTTTTACAATAAAAAAACACACCGGTTATGAAAATATGATAATTTTAGACAATATATGAACCAACCCACCCATAGAAATAACATGAAAAAAATATATAAAATGAAATAATTTAAAATTAGTAAAAATTAAATATGAATTTAATAAAATAAAAACTATTTTTATTTGAAATGTTAACATGAAACACAATAATTTTTATATTTTATATTTATTTAACATAAAAATAAATATTATATAAATACACAATCCTCGTATATGCTGATAAGAGTAACTCAAAGCTTTTCTTAAATCTAAGTGTTTAGTTTTAAAAAAAAAAAGTCATTTTCTTAAAAAATAAAAAATAGGAGTGAAAAAGTATTGAGTAATTAAAAATAAAAATAAATTTTAAAAAAATAAAAATAAGTTAAAATATGAAAAAAAAATATGTTTTTAATTATAAAAATAAGGGATGTACATTATTTTTTTGTGTTTTGTAAGTTTATATATTTGAATCCTTTTTAATATCATTAATTAATAAATATATATTATATTTGTAATTAGATATCATTAATAGTAATATCATTAAATATTTTTTTTATTTTTTTTATATTTTTTAAAAATAAAATTTATTTTTATTTATCAAATGCATTTTTTAAAAACAAAAAATAAAAAATAAAAGCTATTTTTTAAAAAATAAAAATATAAACATAAAAATATTTTTATTACACATTTAAAATTTTACTCTCAAATATCTATTACACATTGTTTTCTCAAGTTGATATTTAAAATTTTACTCTCAAACACTTTTTACACGAAAGATAAAACTCTGATTAACAAAAAAAAAAAAAATTCTTTAACAAGAATTATCCTTGCGGATAAATTGAACAACATAATTTCCTAGATCATCAAATAATAAACAGGTTTCCAAATAAAACTTCAGTTTCTCACAATGATCACATACGGCGTAGCTAATGACAAATACTGGATATCTACAAGTGGGGAATAACAATATACAAACAAAATACTACAGAAACTCCTTTTTTTTTTTTTTTTGTACATAGAATTATTCATCATATTCATTCTTGTGAACATTGCATAGACATTTCTGGATCTTCCATAGAACATTGCTGAGACTGATAAACAATCTCTTGCCTTCATCACCTGTTCATAACCTTAGCGTTTCCTTTGATCCTACCTTTACAAACTATACAAACCAACTTTCTATCATCACCAAGTCAATATTTCTGATCCTTTCTCAAAGCACTGCAACAAATAGAATTACTTTTCAAAGCTTCAATGGCTCTGGAATATGGTCCTCAACCCCAAGCGTGGGAAAGAAACTCGCCTGTTTAATCAAAACCTTTGACCAGTGAAAATGCCTGGGATCAAAATTGAAGCCACCTTACACTTTGACATATTTATCAACATATCCCTGCAAAACATGATGGGAAAATAATTTTACCAAATTGAAAATTCTAAACATCATCGTTGCATCATGAAAAATGCAAGGATGTGCATAGATCAACATTTCAGCTAATAGTTTAAAAGCTCTATGGAACTTTATGAAAGAAAGGTCAGAACTATTGCAGAAATACAGCATGTAAAATGACCCCTTGCAAAGTTAATTTCTGCAAGAAGGCAAAAAAAAAAAAGCACGAAATGAGAATTTACCATCACAACTTTCGTCAATTTCCGCTGAGATGACTCAATGTATTGATCAATCTTTGCACGAGATTTGGGTATCTGGTGGCTCTTCGTAGCTCCTGATACTTTATCAACAGTCTTATTGACAATTGTCTTAAAAGCCTCCTTGCTTATATTACCCTGCTGCTATGATGGCTTTAAAACCTCCTTTACAAAATCTGCAAGGGCAAACTTGAAAACCTTCATTGATCTGGAATCTTTGCTCTTCTTGCTCTTCCCTGGAGACTTTATCTGATCAATCTCAATCTCACCAGTAGCCATGTTGACTTCAACTGGATTACTTGGGCTGACATTCTCAACAGCACCAACTTCAGCATCAGCAGTCTCACCAAATTCCTTATTATCTGCAGATGCCGCAGAATCAATGGCTCCAGCATCTTTCCTTTTGTTGTTTTCCTCCATATCCAATGGTTTGTTGGAACCACTAAGCCCCAATAAGATGTCAGAGTCACCTGTCACTTCCAACTTTTGCAAATAATCAAATTTGCTGGATAACCTTGTAGATGGCTCAATGCTATCAACGAGTGGATCATACTGGTCACCACCTGATCTAGGAAAATTCTGACCAACAGCCCTGGCAGAATTGGGTGAGGAAGTTCCTTGTTGCGATCCAATACCTTTCCCATCAACAGGAGCATGTGTTATTATAGGTTGTATCTTTTTCTTGCATAACATCAGAACGGCATTTGGAATTTATTGGCTGGTCAAGAGTAGATGCATATGGATTAGGAAATGTTGAACTAGTTGATCCTCCAATATCAACATGATGGGATGTTGCGTCCCTAATATCTGGTGGATCTTTTAGTGAAGAATTCATCTTCCCAGCAAGATTACAGATACAGTCAACCATAGGGTGGTGCGAATATACGAAGATGAGTTAGAAGTCCACCTGGTGACAAACTCTCACCAGGAAATGGTTGCATTTTGTTTCCCAGCAACCGTTGTGAAAAGGGCATAGTATGAGGATGAGTGTTTCCCTGAGCAAAGGAATTTGAAGCAATCACATTCTGCATTGGAGGATGTTTTAAACCATCATATCCCGGCATGCCAATAGAAAGGTTAAGCACAGGTAAAGAAGCACGCAAGAAAGGACGATTTGCTTTCTGAATTGGAAGATAAGCTCGCTGTCGAAGCCTATCAGACCGAGAATGTGGAGGCAATTCAGTTGGATAAGGTCCTGGGATAATCTGGGAACCAAAATCATTCCTCAGAGGCAAGTGACTCTGCCGAGCCATATATCAACTCAAAATTGCTTCCTTTATTCGCAAAATATAATCTTTTTCTAACTTGCGTAATTTAAATGCATTCAATACTGTCAAACAAACTGCAAATGCTGAAAAACGCTTCAAATTGCACGTTTTCAAATTGAAAATCAATGTTGAATTCAATTCAAATAGATAAGAAAAATCCAAAAAGCCAAGTTCAAACCTTTTTATTTCCCATTATTTTCCATCAACTTTCTCAGCAACCAAACAACAAAAAGCAAAAATATCAATAAGTAAGCAGATAAAACAATTATATAACTAAAATACAAAAAAAAAAAAAAAAAAAACAGCATCGAAGAAACTAAGTTGAAAACGATTAATGAATGAAAAAATAAAAAAAAGCCAAAATTAATCACAGCAACGGTAGCCTACCAGTTGAAAGTGGGAGAGAAAATGTAGAGGGAAGGAAAATATATATATATATATATATATAGGAATTTGGAGCATTTTTGTCAAGAAAAGAGAGGGTTTTTTTATGTTTATAAACCCTAATAAAATTTTTTCGTTTTATGGTTCTGCTCTATGAGTTCTGCTTTTTGAGTTTTGAGTGTTTTCTCACTTTTTTTTTTTTTTGGATTTGGTTTATTTTCACTCAACTTGAAAGCAAAGAAAAAGCTTTTAATTTTATTTTTAATAATTAAAATAAATAAATAAATAAAACATTAAAAATTTTGAAAATTTTATTATAATGTTAAAAATAGTTATGCCTTTTTAATTAATTTAAAAATTTATATGCATAATGCATTTATAAAGAGCATAAAATTTTATATAAATGAATAATGATCTCTAAAAATTTGATCAAATTATAGCTTTTAATTTCATCTCTTAATATAAAACTTGATCACTTTTTCAATTTGATTCATTATGCTTTTTTTTTTTTAATGATTTTATTGTCTTGGTCCATGCATACGATTGGCATAGGTGATGTTTTATTATTTGAACATTCACCACACTAATTGACAAAATAAATAAATGAAAAATTAATTTTAATGAAAATATATTTTGAAACAACAACGAAGAGATTATTAATAAGTAATTTATAAAATTAATAAATAAATATTATTTAATTTCATGAAAACAATTCTAAAATCATACATAAATTGAAATGAAAAAAATAATATTTAGATATATCAATTCGTATATTCATATCATAAAAAAAAAAAAAAGTTCACATTAATTTAACCTGTCTTGTTTGCATCATGAGTATTGGAAGTTAGAGGCCTCCTAGGTTCTTTTTCTTTCTGCCAGAGATTCTTAGTGCTTTTAGAGTTCATTTCTTGACAATTTTTTATTAAAAAAATGCAAATGTTGGAAGCTACCTGTAAAGCTGTCACATAGAAACATTGATGAAGAACTTTGTCATGAATGATTTGTTTGAAGGCCAGAAATTATCATCTGCCTTGTATATCAAAATAATCATATACAAATGTTGTCAATTTTGCAACCAATGCTGAAGCTCCTAGATGAATCTTTGATTTGGAATGGTTGGAAATAATATGTTGGGATTTTGTGAGAGTGCTTATTTTTCCTTGTCAGAGTTTTTAAATCATTATATCTTGTTGGGACGTTGACCACTTTTTAGTGCTAAAATTCAGCAGCTTGGTTTAAGGAATTGACAATTTACATCAATTTTCCTTTCTTCAGCTGCAATTTAGGGGGCTAGCCGTAGTTCAGTTGCTGCCTGATGATCAAGTGAAACCTTTGCATGTATATCGAATTATAGGAGATAACATGCTGGTTGGTGAGGGCTACTTACCCAATGGGCTGTCCTAGGTTCTCTTATTGCAGATGTTTTGCAAAATCATGCATACATGTCCTTCAAGTTTTGACATTTTTGAATGCTGCTTCTTATTTTCACCCCTCCCCCAAGTTGCAATATTCCTTTTGCCTTTCTTGTGGCCACACTAATTGCTTCGATAAATTTCTGTGAACAGGATCGACCTACAACAAAGGTTCATGCAGCAGCTGGCAGTGGATCTTCCCTGGATTACCTGTTTGGCGGCAGCGGGAAGTGAGACATCATTAATATTGTTCTAAAGCCTCTAAAATTTTGGGACAAACAATATACCACTATAGTTACATGTTAAAGACATTTTGCAGCTGTAATGCAATGTAAATACTTGTTGATGTTAGCATGGTGGGTTCTTTCCGACATTTAGACTTTGTTAATCAGTCAACTATCTTCCTCAACTGTTTTCTGTCAGTTGGCCAGACCCATCCAATCCCTCCACTGAATGTCATATATGGTGTTCCAGGCCCCTTTTTTGTTTGTTGGACCAAGGATGGATCTAGCAAACCATTGTGGGAACTCGATTTGTGCTGACTAAAATTGAAAACTTCTTGACAATTTTAAATATCATATGATAAAAAAAAAAAAAAAACATAATTTAAAATTTTAACAAAATCTTACATGAATTCGATGTTTAACACCTGAATATGAATTATCATGTGATAATTTTTATATTTTATATAAAATAAATAAACACAGATAACATTAATTGCCAAATCTATCTCCAACTTACTATTTCTTCAATCTTCTGGTTTTGAGAATAAATAAAAGTTATTAAAAAAACATTTTTTTAACCTCAAATTTTAAGACATTGAAGAAATCAACCAAGAATATATTTCACCTAGAAAAGATATACAATAATGGTGACAAGCAAAGACTTTCTACCATTTCTCTTAGCCATCCTCTTTAGTCATCCATGCCATGCATTATTATTCCATAAAAGAACTAGCTATTAATTAGGAAATGATGAAAAAACATCAATATCCAGTTCCATCAACCATCCTCAACTTCAGCAAGTTAAGTTCTATTTACCACCAACAGGTAAGTGGAAAGCCAAATGCCCTGAAAAAACGCTTATTTCTATACGCTCAACATTGTTACACAATAATCAAAGGGAAGACCATTGGATTACCACAAAATGAGATCAGATACTTTCGACATCGTGTGAGAGGAAAAAGATAAAGAGTTAAAACATTTATGCACAGATCTTATGTAAAGCTAAGTAGAAAGACTAATCTCTTAAAATGCCGAAAGGTTACATACGTCAAAAAAAAAATTGGCCCCAAAGTACTTAGTTCTCCTATAGAATCAACATTGTCCACATGGTATGTTGGAAAAAGAGCAAGGTTTCTTCACAACTAATGGAAACCAGAGGAGTCATGCATTCTCATCTCAACATTACTTTTCCTCGTTGCTAGAAACAGTTCAATCTGGCGCAGATAATAATCACGACATCACCAGTTCTAAACAAAAGCTAAAGTCAATCATGGATTCCAAGGTAAGAGCTCGGATGAATGGGTATTAGTTGTTAGAAAGCAAAAAGAAGAGTGACACTGGGTGGCTGATCACCAGTTAGTAAGTAAGCAGATTCAGTATGCATCAGTAACATGCATCTATAACCACCTTGAAGCAATAAATGTACACATGGCTTGTGCATCTCATTACGTTGAGTTAGTCATCACTAATGAAGTTAAAGATTGTTCACCAGTCATAGCAATTTTTCGGGATTGTTGTGCTCCAAGGTGTTTGGTCTCCTCTCACCTGCCAGAATATTAGAAGAATTTGTGTTCATCAGAACATGACTACCTTAAAATATGTAACAACAATATCAAATGAGTTGCAATATAACTATAATTACATAATTTTAAATAGCTCTCTTAAGAGAAAAAAACATCTGCTTTGCTTCAGTAAGCTCTTACTAGAATAATATGGGCAAGTCAATGGAGAAGTCACTCAATACCATAAACTAGCACCCTTAAATGATCCAATCTTAAAAGCTATGAATTAAAATACAAGTTAAAAGCCAGCTGCTCTGAACTGAAAAGAATGATGGATGCAATGAAAAGAAAAAAGAAAGTGATTTTTGCATTTTGCATGTCCAGAAGCCATTACAATTAGCTGTAAATTAAAATTTTCTTCCATTCATTCATACCTTGCTTTGAAGATAAGGTGACAGAGTAACCAGCTCTCATGGCTCCAACCCCTTTCAGAACTTCAGTTCCAGAGTTTGGTGCATCACCTGCCTTATCATCATTTAAGTTGAGATGAGCTACCAATGGAGAAAAATCTTGCTTTGCAGGATCCTGCCAAAACCCAAACAACACAAACTTGTCATATCATACTTAACATATGCAATCAACAACTCATTTTGATGTTTGCTGGGAGACCAACAGACTGACAAATGAATCACGTAATGAATGGCTATAATAGGTACAACTGTGTAATATTTTGAAGCCCTTACAGAAACTAAAGATGGAGAATTTAACATTCACCAATTATTCCACAACAGAACAAGCATGTAGTACAATCACTATTGAAAGGCCTAACTGCTTAAGCAATATCAGTCATGAGTATATTAAAGAAAGAACAGACAATGGAAACAAAAGGAGAAAAAGCAATAAGCACAAGCATGGACTGCTGATTCAATAGTTCCAGAATTCCAGTAGCCAAACTGGGTTGACAAGTAGCAATTTGATGGCTGTAAATTGCAAACTTGTCATCCAAATTTTGATAAAAAGAAATTCAAGGACTTTGCCACAAGCTGTTGGCTGGTTAAAGGAAAGCCAAATTACAATTCTTGTGCAAGTTGAGAGGAAAAAGGTCTCAACCTTATGGGTTGATAGATCTGAATGTGCCGGATTCCTCAAACTTGGAGCAGGAGCTTCTGTATCACACAATGAATAATCCATCTCATGAATATCAGCTTGTTTATGATCTCCACAATCCAGCCTCATGCTTCTTGATTTACTATTGCAATCATCATTTAATACAGTACCCCTAGCTTCCACAGAAGTCCTTTTTCTGAAATGAGTACACAATATTAAGACAAACCAAAAGTATCTGCAAAGTGATTTATACAGCGAGTGATGATGGTAGACAAACCAAAATTATCTAAAATATTTTGCTACCATGACCAATGCTGGTTAAAGGAGAAAACCAAAGTTATCTAAAAAAATGTTGCTACCATGACCAACGCTGGTTAAAGGAGAAAGGATGCAGCAAGAATTTTCTACCTGCTGAGATTATGATTGAGTACATGGCCAGAGCTAGGCTTGCTTGCAAACAGTATTCCTCTAAGAGGCTTCCCATCTATAACAGTCTCAATGGTATATCCATGCGTGAAGCTCTCAGTAACCTTAGCTTGAAATGTCTTCTTTCCTTGAAGCAGGACCTGGTTTAATGGAAAATTCTCTCTTCCTGCAGAATTTGAGAGTACTATAAGTGCACAGATAATAGCAATTTTCAAAAGTTAAATCATTCTAATAAGACAACATTCTTTTGGCTGTTTACTGACTTAAAAACTAATAAATTGTTCACTGAAACTATAGTTCAGGTTAGGTCTCCAAGAACATTTCACCACCTTGAATAGTACAGCACAAAACATAAGTAACAAATAATCCCAAAGCCCATATTTAGTTTCTATTATTACAGAAGAAAATCAAGCAAGATGCAGTAACCAATCACACAAAAGCACATTCATAATTCACAACATTAATTTTTTTGTATCTGTGTGTTTGGAGGAAAGGGGGGTGAGGTGAAGGCTTACTGACATATAGATAAGATTAAGAACTTGAAAAAGACCAAGGTTAAGAAAACCTTAAAGAACATAAGTTAAAGAAGTGTGACATAGCAGTTATAAAATAAAAGAATCAATCAGAAACTGTGTAAAAGAGTTCTTACCTGGGTGGCCATAGCTTGATAAAGGAATGGGTTGGTGCACATCATTGCTGACTTCAATTGTAGCGAGGGCTTTATCATGTACAATATTACTAAGATTTTGTTCTTGACATTTCAGCTTCAACTGTTTTCTCAGGGATAACTTCTCTAGCTTCCTTTCATCACGTACAACAAGCCCTGGGATCATATCACTATTAGAAACTCAGAAGGTTGACTAAAAGATCTATGGAGTTCCAGGGACCGAATCACATATAGAAAGCAGCCGAGCAGGTAATGTTTTTAAATCAAGGTAAATGGAATATTTAGATTAAACCTGTGTATATGTAATACATGTCATCCAGTGCCTCAAGAGTCTTATTGCAACCACCAATAAATACAAGAACACCACTCTTCAGGGGATCTAAACAATCCCCGGCAACAGAAAATCTAGCAGAAGGGCCATCACCCATAGTTATCACCCTGGTCCACATGCCAGTATCTGCACCAATGGTGGGAAACATAATACATGAACAAGTAACCACACTTGTAAGTAACATTATTTCATCAGCTAGCAACCCTTTCAGGCCACAAGGAAAGAAATAAAAACAAGTGAAGAAATAAAATAATGCCCTTTCTCACTGCTTTGAACCTCGGATTTCTAAAACAGAGGCTACTCTATGATGATATCAAGAAATAGAAATTCGATTGAAGATAACAACATGATCAACAATTACATAACACATACCAACATCAAGCATGTAGAGATCGTCATAAAGATTTTGAGCATCTGTAAATCCCCCAAAAACAAATAAGTTCTTGCCGAAAGCAACAGTGGAGTGGCCAGCACGAGGTGGTAACATCTGGCCTGAGGTATTCAACTCTTTCCATGCAAGAGTATCTAGTACAAATAAAAAAATTCCAAGAACAATATTAAAAGCAGCACATAAAACTTAGATTCATATATTTTCAAGCTATAAAAGTTTCTTACATATAAATTGTATAATAAGTCAGATACCCCATGTAAACTAACAACCAAAGACATTGCATACATAGAAGAACACATAAATGTATGGACTCATTTCAAGATAAAAAAAAAAAAAAGAACAAAGAAAAACCAAACCTGCATCAAGGATATGGACATCAGACAAATAGTAATCATGTCCATCTTCACCACCAATCACAATAATTTTATTCTTCCAAGATGAGCAAGTATGGCTATCACGCGCAGATGGTGGGTTTCCTGATGTTGCAGCGTGTTTCCAGACAAAGGTCTCTACAAGCAAAAGGTTATGGAAAAAAATAAAAACACGTATAAAACCCAGAAAAATACCAAAAAAAAAAAAAGAGAGAGAAACATGTCTTTCAGCCTAAGCTCTTCAAGACGTTTTCAAAGCAAAAGAGATATCAAACACAACTCAATTCCGCTTCTTAGATGTACACCAGTTCTAAAAAATTCATACATTTTTCTAGAGATTTTCCTCTCCTTTTTTACCCCCTCTATGGTGAAATATAGATATAGAGATCAAATTAATCAAATCAAACTTAGCCAAAGCAATAAGAAGTTAAGAACAAACAATTGTCAAAAAGTTTACCCGTATTTAAAATATACAGATCGTTGTAATATATTTCATCATTGTTATCAGAGGATTTTCCACAGCCACCAAATATGAAGAGTCGTTTACCAACAAGAGCAGCACTATGACCTTCACGTTCCTCTGGCCCTTCACCTCTTACACTTGGACAAAACCATGTGCATGTGGCTGCAACATGAATGTGTAATGTGTTTATTTATTCTATAATACTAATTAAAGGAGAACTCTGATGGCTTTCAGAGATGACTTTTGGCAAAATAAACCACAAACCACTCAATTTCATTTCCATGCAAAGACTGTAAGGCAAAGGATAATAGTAATTTAATACTTAGAGTAACAAAAAAAGAAAAAGAAAGTTCAACTTCCAGCAATCGCTTCACCAGCCATTTAATAATAGCCCTTAACTGTCTCCCTGCTTCTCCCCCACTCTCCAAAAAGTATAAATCTTCATTTTTAATTACATAATAAAATAATAATTATTTCATAAAATTGATTCTTTATTCACCCATGTAGGTGGGTGGCATTATGTTCAGAGCAAATGATTGAGAGTACAATTCCTCGGAGTTATCAGTGTCTCAAATAACACGAACACCATCACACCAAATTTCATGACAATCTCCAACGAACATTAATTCCTATAACAAACTTAAAAAGGAAAAATATGCTGATTTCTGTCACTGATATTAAACTAGAATTACCTAACCAATCCACTTCAGCAAAATTATATTCGTCATAGAAGTGAAAAAAAAAAAATCAATGCAAATGCAGATAGCGGGTCATAAGAGGTAAGAATCAAAGAGAATAAAAGGAAGGGAATAACTCACCAGTGTCTAATATATGTAGATCTTTTAGAGGGTTCATCCCATCAGTACCACCAAAGACGAATAGATTGTCACCAACAGTAGTACAACTATGGCTGTCTCTTGGAGTTGGTGGTGTACCTTTCATCGCCGGTTGGCTCCATGTCTGCTTAGCTGCAAATTGGCGATATGGGAAATATAAGAGAGCGACTAAAGAACCTTCAAATGAACTCCTAAGATCATAAATGCTATTAAAACAACCCGAGTACGAAAAGATAGATACAAGCAATTAACTAGTATGAAAATCAAGAAATGACATGTTATACGGGCCAAATGGTTCCAAAAACATGAAAACAACTATAAGCTCATAAAAATTTTCTAAAACCAAACAAAAATGGAAGCAAGAAAAAGTTTACGCTGATCCAGAAATATCCACAAATATGCATAGCCAAAAAACTACCTAAAAACCTTTTGAGAAGTAGATGCATAGAATCATTAATACTAACTATAAATGCTAAACCAAGCACATATCAGAGCATTAATCCTTACACCAACCCTCAAAAAAGGAAGAATTTGTCAATAAACCAAATAAAAAAACCCTAAAAAACAAGTTTCAATAACATATCCACCAAAAGAATCAATTAGCAAAACATATACAACACATTCAAAATCCAAATTATATCTCAAATACCAAACAAAAGTCGCAACGTAACACCTCAAAATTTCACGTAAAGATGAAACAAGCGAAAAAAAATTTTAAAAAAAGGAAAGAAACCCAGATTTTAAAAAAGACCCACCAGTGTCAAAGACATGAACTTGATTGGTTTGGCAGTTATCTTTGCCATAACCACCAAAAACATAGAGAAATCTGCCTCCTTTAATGGAGTTACATGTATGTCCCCATCTTCTGCCTGGCCCTGGACATGCTTCTCCCACACCTCCAACTTCTTGTTGGTAAAATTGAACCTTTTCCCACCTCATTTTTCTGGGAAAAATGAGAAATTTTCAGTGGGAGAGTGAAGGAAAGTTACAATCTTTGAAGAGAAAGAGACGGAGAGAATTGAGACTTTGAGTGGATTGGAAGTTCATGCAAAGAAATAAAATGAAATTTAAAAAATTACTGAAAACATTTTTTAGAAAATTTGTTGGTTTAATGAGATACTTGAATTTTAAGAACCGCAGAGAGAGGAATCCGATGGGCATTACATGGAAACTCGAAACAGGTTTGGGACACGTGTCACTCGATGTAGGACCAATACTTGGTGGGCCCAGGAAAGTGGCTCAGGTGGGTTTTGTAGACACGTGGCTAAAACAAAGAGGCGTTGATTTGGACATCTTTAGAATGGCCCATCATCAGCCCTTCGGGTTTTTTGGGGCCCAGATTTATTTTGGCCATTGTTATATATATCAAGCATTATCCTAATTTAATGAAAACAAAATTATTTCATAAATAAAATGAATTATGAACAAAAGTTTTATGGTTTAAACTTATTTCCTACTATAAACTACAATAAGGTTTCATGAACATGGTTAATTTTTATTAAAAAATATAAATTTTATAAATTATTCTGATATATCTCAAATTTTATTAAATTTATTTTTTAAACGATTTAAAAAAAAAACAATTTCACATGTCAATTTATTACATTCATGACTTTATTATAATTTTTATTCTCTAAATATTATCATAAAAAAAAAATCTTTTTTTTATGAATTAGAATTGTACTACAATAATAACCCCATACTTTGAAAGTTTTCATATAAGATAACGTCTTAATATATTTAAAATAACTATTAATTATTATATTTAACATGAAAATTTATTTATAATAATATTTTAAAAAGTGATCTATTCCATGTTTAGATGTAATTACACTTTTAGTGAAATATAATTAAATTTAATTATTATCAATTAAATTTAAATATCAATAAAATTTATTTGATATAAATTTTTTATTAAAAAATTTTTTTAATCATAAAGCAATTATTTTTTTAATTTTATCATAATAAATTTTATCGTAATCTAAATAAATCTTTAATAATTTCATAAAAAGATAAAATAATCAAAATCACTCTTTTTTTTAATATAGCAACTGATTTTTTAAATTATGAATAACCTATTTAAAGCCTACTTATTTAATTAAATTTATTTATTTACATGGGCATGCTCATGACTCAAATCTGGAGCTTTTGCTGACAATTGTTTACCCAAAAAACCACAGTGCAAAAGAGGCGAGCATGTGGCTCACCATTGGCTACTATTTGATGTGAGAGCCAGCTGACCAGACTGAGTCAGAGGCAGATTCCATGCTTAGCTCTCTGCTTGACGTTCAATTTGGCAGTTGAAAAAAAAATCCATTTTTTGAAAAATTTTTTATTTTCCCTTTTCCAATGAATGAGTTAAGCAAATAAGCGACTGGATTGTCAGACAGAGCTAAGCCTGGCTAGATAAGACCAAACTCTCTAGAGGCTGTTCCTCACTGTAGAGTATAGACCAGTTTTAGATTTGATAATTTAAATGTAAAAATAATTAAAAAATAATATAATTTAAAATCTTAATAAATTTTATATAAAAATTTAATAAAAATAAAAATTATTTTTATATTTGATATAGTTGCGCATTAACAGGACAGAATGAACATCTACAAAAATACAAACATAAGATGAAGATTAGGAGTTAAGCATATCTATCATTGAATTTATTAATTCAATTAATTTTTATAATCATTCATAAAAAATAAGATTTAATAGATTCGAAATTCATATTTTAATATTTATAATATCATTTTTTTATCTCAAATTATAATTTTTTAAATAAAATATTTAGAAGCGTCGTCCCTTCATAATTCGATACCATTCTAAAGCAGCAACTACAGCACCTCCCAGATGAACCGATCCTGAAATCTGACTATCTCCCTGCAATACCAAAAAAAAAGGAAAAAAAGAAATTCAAATGTCAGAATTTATTCGATACGAGGCCTTGGATTTGTGAGATTAGGAGCAAACATTTTACAGCAAATGACACCAGTTAAGGTTGCACTTGCAGATGGCTAACACTCACAAGATCCAGTAACGGTTGACACATTATTTCATATTATACATATGCTGATTAAGGAAGGATATGAAAAGAAAAACAGTTGCTTGAAGTCGAAGATGATCAATATACCTCTATTATCCTCAATATATCTTGAGCGATTAGAAAGATGCCCTTGAAGGAATTTTATACAGAAACAATTAGTAAGGATTATTAGTAAACATACGTAAGATTCTTTTTTTTTAATGGATAAATAAGAACTCAATTACAAGTTAATTACTATAATTCTTTTATTATTATTATTTTTGCATTTAAAATTATTGAAATTTAAATTTTAATTATTAAAATTAAGAGTTTAATATTTTAACGGATCAAGCAATCGTTAACGACTATGATTCTTTATTTGTTAAGATAATCTAGAGGTAAGCTTACCACTACCATGGCAGGGACTGGTAAGATCAATTGGACATACACAGTAGCTCTAGGATTCAATAATATGATAAGCATCATGACGGCACAAACAGCCCCATTTGGTCCCTGCATGATGCAAGCAGTTCATGAGTTTAAATTTAACAAAAAGGTTAATTACACATTTGATATCCCAATTATAAACCTTTACTTGATTTGGGGAAAAAAATTGCAATGGAGAAGCATGTACGGGGGAAGATACAATCTGTCATCTTACCATGCAATTCACCCCAAGGATCATAAGCTATAAATTTGTCATCAAATTTTTTAGAAACATTTAAAAAAAAAAAAAAAACTAGTAAATAAAACTGATGAAAATTGGGAATTACAAGTCTCAAAACCCAATTCGAATGTTTGCCATCCTAATTCCTAAACAAGGTGCAATTGTGTAAGTAGAAAAATGGTTTTATTTTTCACAGCAATTTCTGTTTGGTTTTATTGTTTAATCGATCGTCACCAAATAGTTTGACAGTGTAAGATACATAGTTGAAGAAAACATTTGTTATCAAATTGCAAAATCTTGTATAGACAACAAGTGAGGATATCATATGCATTAGTGTTGCAAATTCTAGTCGCATACCAGTCCTGGAGTCTCTGATGCATCTCTCTGATCTCCCTGTTCCTGTTGATAGTCCCAGAGTGGGAAAAGCCAAAAAAAAAAAAGAAGAATTGTCAAATACATGTTTCATTTGACAAGAACTACAAAAAGAAAGGTGCAAATTTCTTCTGTCAGCCACAAGATGATTCAAGAGAGTTTAGCACCCACCGGACCGGCATGCGACAACTGATAACTGATCAATGGCTTCTGCACTTGCTAATGGTAGGGATATATAGCAAAGTAGGCATTAAAATCGCTTTTGCAATAATTCATATATACCTTTGATGATAAAGCCAAAAAGGAATGGTGCAGCAAGTGGAATAATGAACCAGTAATAGCTCCAGCAAGATACAACTTCAGCAAATATGCAGGTCCAAGATTCTTTCAATCTGTCCAGTGTCCAATGCAGATTAAAAAGTACAAAAGAAATAAAATATTGAAATGAAATGAGTAACAAAATCTTCTTTGGATTTATGAATTCAAGAATATACAATCTCCAGCAATGATCGTATGGAAAGCCAATATACATATATACATATATATATATATAAGCAGTTTGTAAGGTCTGAATTAATACTGGCAAGAACAGAAATTGTGGCAAAATTAAAGATTCTAAGGCATTACTCTTACATGTACGCCAAATGTAGCAAGTCCGATCATGTTAGATAAGTCCAGGATTAATATGGCTGAAGGCTGAAGTGATTAGCGTATGCACACGTCCATTTCTGAAATTGTCCACTGAAATCTGCTCACAGAGAAATATATATCAAGTAAGCTAGTGACCAAATAAGTTCAAAAAAAAAAAAAAAAACCCTATTAGCAGTAATATTGATTATATATTTCAAATACAATTAAAATGATTGCTTTCATCTTTATTTTCTTGACTTAGTGGTTAAGAAAATTTAGAAAGATTTATAAGATGAGAGTTCGAACTCCCCCATCTCCATCGCATCCCTAAAGCTTTCCTTGGGGCTTTCATCCCTGCACAGCACGGTACCAAATTTGAACTCTAAATTACATAAAAAAAGGTAATATTAGACTAAAAAGAAAAGTTTAGAATCCGTTGCTTAACTTAATTAATTTATGTAATCAACTTTATGCCATCCAGTAATTTGAAATTTAAATTCTAATATCTCTAACTCATTTCCTTACCCATAAATTATGACTTACTTTTTAAAATTCGATACTTAACTTAATTGGTTCATAAAATAATTTTGTAACATTCAACAATCAAAATTCAAATTCCAACGGCTACAATCTTTTCATTCAACCATAGACTACAATCTACTTTGTTTAAAAAAAAAAAAAAAACAAATACTCTAGTAGTATTTCATAATTATAAGAGCTCAGTGTAAAGTTTTTGATCATAAATTTGTTATCTGCAAGCCCCCACATTAAAAGAACAGCAACATTAATTATAACCAAGACCAAAGTCATGTCACTTGCTTTAAACCGCTGGTACATTGATCTCCTGTGAACCAAGGGCAAGACCATAGTTCGTAGTCATTATGTATATCAAAATTTGACAAAGTACAATTAAAGTACTGTGGCTAACCTACTCTTCAAAAATAAGACTATAAACGAATCGAATATAAACAATATTTGTGATTTGTTCATTTATTTTTATAAGTATTTAAGCTCGTTTTGTGTTCGGTAAGAAAATTATTCTATTTAGTTAAGCTCGGCTTGTTTAAATTATAAGAAATTTACATTCAATTCTTATTCAGTTTGTGTTCAATTCAATTAAGTTATATGAACTCGTTCGTGAACATTAAATGAACTTGTTCACTAACATATATAAACGAATATGTTTATAAACAATAAACAAATTACAATCAAATAAATTTAAACAAACAAATTCTAAACTAATATAAATGAACCCAAGCAAACATAAATGAACCATAAAATAGGATTAAGATAAAAGATAAAAATATAATTTTATTAGTATTATTACAATCGAACAGTAAATGAACAACAAACAATCGAGTTTTAACCAAAATAAACCGAACAAACTTTTGTTTGTATTCGATTCATTTAATAAACAAATATAAAAATATTATTCAAAATCGTTTATTAAGTTTGATAAATAAACAAATACTAAACATGTTCTTCATTTACATTCCTATTAAAAAATATGCAATTTTTATAGGAAGTAGTAACCAAGTAACCAACTGCTTTGTGCACTAAGCCAGGGGGATTAGAATGAGAATAAGCAAGCAAGAGCCATGGATGACCATTTTAACAAGAAAAAGAAAAGCAAGCATATATGTTATATTCACAATTTTTTTTTTTTTTGCCATAAATGAGTTGTTTCACTAATTTAATTTTCCTGTTTTTTTTGTCCAAAAATAACAGGCATTAACTTTTTGTTTGTTAAAGAGTAGTTATCCTCATTGATCCAATTAGTTACCAACAAGCTTTAAGACATAAAAGACATAAAAATTGTAAAACATTAATGAGTTTGGCTTCTCATCATTATTTGTATGTTCATTGTCCTCCAGTTCACCCATCATCACCATTTATATGTGTAGAATCCAGCAATGAATTGTGGAAGTTATTGTTTTAAGGGTCTAAATTTCTAATCATAAAAAGCACATTTTGATAGTATAAAAGCTATATTTTCACTTGACTCTCAAATCAAAGCTTAATATATATATATATATATATATGTCAATGTTTGATATTTTTATTGGTATAAATTTTTTTTTATTACATCGGGAGAGTAAAATCTTAAGACAAATAATAAGGAAAAACTTAATTTGAAATCAGGGCTTGATGTTTTTCAAGCGTCTTTAACCACTGTACTAAAGATTTGGAGACATAATTTTAATTTTATAAGTGATATTAAGAAATTAACATATATTATTTTTATTTTTGCTTAATTTTTTATTTTTTAAAATATATTTTAAAAAATACATATGACCTTTTTAATCCCTCTTGCTCCGGTGAAATCTAAAAATTCTACTCTCAAGGTATGTTATAATTTCTTTATATGTAATAACTAATCACTACTGATGTCTCTACTACTGCATTTATTCGGATTTTTAATTAATTTTAGTTTTTACATAAGAGCCACGAAATTGACAAAAAAAAAAAAACCTTAGTTATATATAAATGTTAAGTCTTGCCCTAATAAGAAACTATTGCAATGCCAACATATCATGGAGTGACACGTATAGTCCTGATCTCCGGCTTTCTCACAATTTTTTATAGCAAAGATTGCAGGAGCTTTCGAAAGCAGTATAAATTGCAGTGCTGAGCATTCACTTGAAAAGAAACTGTCACTCTTCTCCCACATTGCTTTCTTTTCACTCTTTTGTCACAACCACAGAAAATAAAAAATAATTAAAAAACTTTTATTTTTTTGAAAATTAATTAAAAATATAAAATAATCAATCTTCACAAGAACTAAATTAACCAACTATATCTGAATTGACAGAAATAAAAGAAAATGCATAATGTTTTAGCATTACCATCGGTTCCATAGAGGATCAAATGAGGAGGCAAGCTCAACTCCTGGTTTGGGAACTTGGGCTCTAAGGAACGTCCAAACCCTGCAATATTCCAGGAAAGTTTTGCCAGAGAGTTTGAAATAATGGGCATTGAGCATGGTGAAGTAGCCAAACTGCTTTGAAAGAAGTGGGAATGAGAGAAGCCACCTATGAAAGTAATAATTCCCTGCAAGACTAAGACTAGGCTGTGACAATGATGGCATTGATCGCCATGGGAGAGGGGGAGGGACAGAGTGGTGATGAGAAGGGTTGATCTTCGTCAGGACCTGGTTTTGGGGAGTTGGTTTGGAGATAGGAAGGTTTGTAGGGAAGAGAATGAACAAGTGAAGAAGAAGAAGAAAATGTGGTTGCTTTTGTGAATGCAGCTTTGCAAGAAGACAAGGAATAAGCTCGCTTCAAACAAAGTAATCCCACCATTTTCATCTTTGTTTTTGCAGTAATGTCAAATGTGGGAGGAATTTTCAACTGCACCCTATAAATGATAATGCATCATAAATATATATATATATATAATATGATATATATATATATAATATGACCCATCACTTTTTATTGGTACTGGAATCAACTTTAAATAAGGATTTTTTATTTTTTATTTTTAAAAATAAGGGTGCTTTTTAAAATAATATTTCAAAAAAAAAAAATCAAATTTGTCATCATTTAAATAGGTTAAATTTTAATCCTATAATTTTGATTTATTAAAAATATATCAAAAGATAGCAATAAAAATATATTTTATAAGAAAACAAAACATATATTACAAGAATTTTTTTATAATTTTCATTATTTTTAATTTGAATTTACTCTATTTAATGACAATGTAAATGTTATTCATTTAAATTTAAATACTTGATCATGAAAAAATAGTAACATAAAAATGATTATTATGAACTATAACTTAGCAAATTGGTCACATATTTATTTTGTCTAATATGGCAATTAGACATTATTAATTATATGTGAAAATAATGAAGTTTCAAGGGAAAATTGAAAAATATACATTATTGTGTTTTCTATTAACTTTAATTTATGTTGTCATTATAAAAGAAAAATTACAATGACGTTTAAGCAAGTTTATATTATAAATTAAATTTCTATATTCATCATCATCAGGATTATTCATAAAATTATAAAAGGCCAGCTTTGTCATCATTCAAATGTCGAGCTTTCCTCCATGTTTTTTTTCATTTTTTTGCTGACAATGCTTTTTAGAAAAAAAAAAATATTTGGTTTAATGATATAGTTTTTACTGTAGAATTGAGGGATTAAAAGTTAAAATTCAAATTTCATTACTTATATGATTGGCTCAAATATTAAAAAGATTGTGAGAAAATAATTTTTATAAATTTATTAGGTCCGACGTAAATAAACTTGTTTTTCTCCTTGTTATTTGGGTTTAAATTGTTAGAAAATTGTGAAAAAATAATTTTTTATAAATTTATTAGATTCGATGTAGCAAGAATATTCGGAGTAAAATCTAGAAAAACCTTTACCGCTAAGAAACTAAAATGCAAATGAGGCAACTAAGTGCATACCAGTGGTAATTTGGATAATTGAATTGGATTACATTTGACACGAAAGCCAGCAAGAGGCAGAGGCAGATTCTTTAAAAGCATTTGCCAACATAATTGCGCATTAACGGGGTACAATGAACATAAGCTACAAATGTAGAAACATAATTAAGGCAAAAGCTAGAAATTAAGATGGTTAACCATGAGCAAAAGGCATTAGTACTATTAATTAAGGTGAACAAATTTAAAGATGACGAGTTAAGCAGATCCATTGTTGAAATCAGAGGAATCGTCCCTTTCTAATTCGAGACCACGCTATGGCTGCAACTGCTACACCCCCCAAATGAGCTGATCCTGAAATATGACTATTTCCCTGCAACACCAAATATTCAATTATCAGACCTTAAATGATACCCTAAACCCTAACCGTTTCACAGCTAATGCCACCGGTTATGGTTGCACCTGGCCAACACTCTCAAGATTCAATACAATATTACAACATCGACCATGTCGAAGATTTTGTCTTCCAACACAGCCAAATAGTAGGAATAGCACATTATGTTGATTAAGGATGAAGTGTAAATGAAAAGAAAAACAGCTGCTCGAAGTCGAAGATGATCAATACATATACCTGTATTATCCTCAAGATATCTTTCCCCATTAGCAAGATGCCCTTGAAGGAATTATAGACAATTAGTAAGTATATTGGTAAACAATAGGAACTTAATCACAAGTTATTTCTTTGTTTAACATAAGCTTACCACAAACATGGCAGGGACTGGTATGACAAAATCTATATATATGGTAGCTGTTGGATGCAATAATATATCAAGCATCATGACAGCATAAACAGCCGCACTTGCTCCCTACACATGATGCAAGCAGTTCATGAGAATTTTATCCTATTTCGTAAAGAGGTGCAATTGTGCAAGGGAAAAAATGGTTTTATTTTTCATAACAATTTTTGTTTGATTGGTTTGTTTAATCTATCATTACCAACCAGTTTGAGAGTGAAAGATAGCAGAAGAAAACAGTTCTAATCTTATTTGTTACAAATTGCATATGCTTAAGATATAAATAGAAACAAGTAAGGATTTCATTAGTATTAGTATTAGTATTATACTATTATCCAAGGAGATTGATAAACAGAGGCTAAAAGCTTACCAGTGCTGGAGTCTTTGATGGATCCTTCTCTCCTTTTCCCTGTTGATAGCTCAGAGTGAGAAAAGAGAAAGATACATTTTAGCCAAAATCAAATCATGGATTTATCGTTTGTCATCATATAAGCACAATATTTGGATTAATATTCGCAATCAAGGATTACAATTTCAGTTGACAATAAATACAAAGAAATAGAAATTATGAGCAAATTTCAGGTATGATCAGCCACAAAGATGATGCTTCAAGCTTTTATCAATGTCACACACCAGCATGTGAGAACTGATAACAAATCATTTTTTTTTTTTATTAAGCGACAAGGGATTCTTGAGCTTTGCATGCAGCTTGCTTTGTGGTTGTAATATTTTACGTACCTTTGATGATAAAGCCAAAATGGCGTGGTGCACCAAGCAGAATGTTGAACCACCTATAGCTCCAGCAAGATATAACTTCAGCAAATATGCAGGTCCAAAGATTCTTCCAATCTGTTTAGTGCAGAGTAAATAGCAGTTTCATTGTAAGATCTAAAATACTCTTTAAGAACCGAGAATCTGGCCAACTTAAAGATTCCGAGGCATTAATCTTACATTTATACCAAACATAGCAAGTCCCATGACGTTACAGATAAGGTGCTCCAAACTAATATGGCTGAAGGCTGAAGTGATCATTGTATGCACACGTCCATTTCTAATATTGTCCACTGAAATCTGCTCAAAGTGAAATATATACCAAGTTGGTCATCAAATAAGTTCATAAAAAACATATTTACGTGCAAAGCCACAGTGAAGGGACTAATATCAGGATTATTTTATTTTTTTTACAAAAAAAATTACAGTTTGAAAATAAGAGAAGTGATTGTAAGCATTCATATTCGAATTTTAAATATATAATGTGCTACATTTTAAAAATAATTATATAAATCAATTGAACTAATCACCGAGTTTCAGTACTATTCATTTTTAAAATTCTGCATTATTCTTGAGGATAATCATAACCTGTGATCACTTGTTTTTCGTTAAAAGGATATGTTCGACATATAAGAGTAATTTGATTTTTTTATCAAATAGAATTAAATTAATGCTTGCTTCCTTAAATAATCTACTAGCAGTAGCCTGAGATTTCCTGGGGATTGATCCCTACAGCACCAAATTTGAACTCTGAGTTACATCTAATAAGGTAATAAACTAAAAAGGTAGTCAAAAAGCAATTGAGAAATTATTTGAAATTAATTAAAAAATTAAAAAAAAATTAATTAAAAATATGAGGTATATGCCATTTTATTAAATTGTGAAATTAAAAAATCTCATTAAACTGTGTATTAAAAATGAACTCAAAATAATATATATTGTTTAAATTATATGTTATAGTTAAGAAACTAATGACTCACAGTAAAGTTATTAGTCATAAATTTGAGATCTGCAATGCGCCACATTGTAAAAACAGCAACATTAATTATAACCAAGCCCAAAATCAAGTGTTCTGCTTTAAACCGATTGAACCATAATTTCCTGCATGTATGTGAACCAAAGACAAGAACCATAGCTTAGAAATAAAATATATATATATATATATATAAATGTTAAGATTTTAACCTTAAATACGCTGAATATCATTAAAAATCACAAGGTAAACTACTTAAATTTAGATACGGTTTTAATGCGATTTTTAATTATTGTACCCAACAACTGCAAAACAAAAATCTTATAAATATTAGTCTTGCCCTAAGACGAAACGATTGTCATGCCAACAAATCACTGAGTGACACGTATTGTCATGATCTCCCCATTTCTTGCCATTTATAGTTAAGAATGCAGGAGCTTTAGGAAGCAGCATAAATTAGCAGTACTCAGTATTCACGTGAGTAGAAACCGTCAATAAAAAAACGGAAAAGAAAAGAAAAAGGAAAAAGGAAAAAGCAGGCATTACCATCGGTTTAGAAGATCAAATGAAGAGCCAAACTCTGCTCTTGGTTTGGGAACTTGAGCTCTGAAAAGCATCCAAAGCCTGCAATAATCCAGGAGAGTTTTCGCAGAGACTTTGAAATAATGGGTGTTGTTGAGTGTAGTGAAGCACCAAATCTGCTTAGCAAGCAGTGGGAATGAGAGAAGCCGTCCATGATGAAAGTAATTCCCTGCAAGACTAAGTCTAGGCTGTGATGATGAAGGCTTTGGCCGCCATGGAAGAAGGTGGTGATGAAAAGGGTGTAGAGTGAGAGAAGAGTTGGGGAGCTGGTTTTGGGGCGTTGGTTTGGAGATGGAAGAGAAGGCTTTGTAGGGATGAGAATGGACAAGTGAAGAAGAAGAAGAAGATGAAGAAATGGTGGTTGCTTTTGCTGTGAGTGTAACTTTGGAGGAAGCCAAAGAACATGCTCGCTTCAAACAAAGTAATCCCACCATTTTCTTTGTTTCTTGCTTGCTAAACTTTCAGAAGTTTGTAAAATGAACAATTGAACACTTTCACGTATGCCAATGGAAATAATTGATGCTTCACTATATATAGTATTAATTTAGAGGCTATATAATAAATAAATAAATAAAAGTACCTTTTAAAAAATATGTAAATACTTTGAAAAGAAAAGTTCAAATTTATCACTATTGATGATACCAAATTTTTTGAAGGAGTACAATTTTAACCATTGACTTAATTAATTAAAAAAAATAAAAAATTAAGAGTGAAAAATATATTTCTAATTAAAAATTTAGATATTAATTTAATTAGGTGATGCAGTCACCTAACTCAAAAAAACTATCATTGAACAAATTTAAAATTTAAATTTTAGTATCTATAATTTTTTTTATTTTCAGATTACGACTTATTTATAAAATAATAATAATAATGAAACAAAGAAATATATTTTTATTTTTTTATTATTTTTTAATATTTAATCACCCAATTAAAAATTATGATAAATTCTATCATTAAAAAAATGTTAAATTTAAACTTACATAAAAAAATGTAAGAGGAAGTAAAAGAATTGTTAGGTAAAACATGAGAAAGACATGATCAGTATTGTTAAAAATTACCGACTAGTGTTTTAATTAAAAAAGTAAAAATCAATATTGTTTGACATCTTCGAACATAATCACGGCATGACTTATAACTAAACAAGTAGATAAGAAAGAATCTAGAAGAATTATTTTACTCTATTTAGATGAATCAGGATTGCCTATAGATTGGAGCAATAATCAAAGATTACGTATCTTTGATGCTAGAATTTGTTGCAAAGTACCATAAACAGCGGACGATTATCTGGCAGGGACCAGAAGCCAAGAGATTACAGAGAAGAAAAAGAAAATGTTTCATATAATTCAACCTACAAGTTTGTTTTGGGTGCTTGCAGTTGTCTCCTAACCAATGCAGTGTATACGCCATCTTTGGCAAGAAGTTCTTCATGACAGCCACTTTCAACAATCTGCCCATCGGAAACCACTGCCACTGTATCTGCACTTTGGACTGTTGATAACCGATGGGCTATTACTAAAACAGTTCTTCCCTTCATTAGAGAATCCATGGCATCCTGCACAAATTATATGAGGACAGAACTCATGAATTATAGACTGAACAAAGAAGTGAAGGACACACAGATAAGATTTGGATAGAATTAAGATATTCTCACCTGCACGAGGTATTCACTTTCAGCATCTAGAGCACTTGTGGCTTCATCTAGTAGGAGAATCTTTGGATCCATAAGCAGGGCCCTTGCTATTGCTACCCTCTGCTTCTGTCCTCCTGAAAGCAGCACTCCCCGCTCTCCAACATGGGTCTGGTATTTGTCTGGAAATTTTGATATGAATTCATGCGCATTGGCCATTTTCTGCAATTCTCAACATTCAAATGTCAGTGTCCCCTGGTGTAATACAGTGTAGTGGTAACAAGTCTTGAATGATGCGGAAGCTTACTGCTGCATTTTCTATATCGTTAATCTCGGCCTTGCCTTCGCATCCATAGGCTACGTTTTCCTCTATTGAGCAGTTGAAAAGGACAGGTTCCTGGCTTACTATGCTGATCTGTACTTCAAAGAACAAAGTTTATCACATTTTGATACTATCCAGATAGTTGCACACTGAGTATTTAAGTAAACAGTGAAAGTATGATGTCCTCATAATAGTGAAAATCTTATGCCTCCTTTCTGTTCATCCCCAAAAATTTATTAGATTGTTATAAATTATAGGTTTTTGAATTTACTCTTTTTTTGTACCTGAGAATCCGCAGCCTCGGATAAGAGAAAAGGTCGTGGTGCTGAGATTTGAACTTTAGACTCATGAATTTATTTTAGATGTGAATAAAATCATGATTACCTTTCTGTGAAGATGTTCATGTGATATTTCTACCAAAGGAACCCCATTTAATAGAATCTTTCCTTTCATTGGATCATAAAACCTTTCGATCAAGTTTGCTATTGTGCTCTGCAGCAGACAAAAAATGGAGATGGTGAATACTCAGAGAATACCAACCTACCGTTCAAACAAAAATCTTTAGGAACAATGGCTTTTGAAAATAAGCCGGGAAAGTTTAGAAACAGTACAAAATTTCAGATAGAGATATTACTTTTCCTCCACCACTAGGGCCGACAAGAGCAACTTTTGACCCAGGCTGCAGTTTAAGTGTTATTCCCTGGAAAAACAGAATGCATCATCGTTTATGTTAATCAGAATATATTTATATGGAGATTATGTGCTCGCTTAGACAGGTATGAAAAGATGAATACCTTGAGTACCATATGGTTAGGGCGGGATGGATAGGCAAACCAGACATCATCCAACTCCACTTCTCCGTCCTGATCACTGAAATAAAGGAACATGTACAACCATATTTTTTCAGGAATCATGCTTACGAACCACCATTGATGTTGAAATATGTTCATGGATAAAGGATCATAAGAAAGAATGAACTAACCCCTATGGACACTTATTTCCTGATTTTGGAATTGATGAGGCACGATCCAGAAGCTGAAAAACCCGCCTGCTGGCTCCTGCAGCTTTCATTGCAACTGTGTATAACCCTGAGAGTCCAGATACAGAAGATCCCACTGCAAGTGCAAATAGCCAAAAGGAATTGATTGAAGGTAGAAAAATGCGACAGCAGATGGCCAAACTTGTTGATAAATATAACATGCATCACTTGATATACACATCTTTAGACAACAAGGGTCTTACCTGTGAGGCTATAAAGAATGAACGATGTTAGAGCACCAGGGGTCATCGAACCTGTGATTGTCAAATTAGCTCCATATATAACTACCACAATAACTGATAATGTTGATGCAGCATTTAGACCTCCAAAGAAGAGCCCAACCACTTTCTGTTTTGCAATAAAGAGATGAGATTATTAGCCGCATAGGGGGTGAAGGGGAGATCAAGAGAGATCAAAAAACACCAGGGAACTCACAGCTTGTTTAAGTCCAAGATTCAGTGTCTCATCAACCTTCAGAGAGTAGCGTGATATCTCATAACCTTCTTGCGCAAAAGACCTCACTGTGCGAATTGCACCAAACGATTCCTAAACAATAATTCAAAAATTTTGCTTCTGATTTTCAACAAAAGGGAGCAATAGAACATATCTTATTATATGTGATAAAAACTTCTTAGTGCATCCTCAAACTACAACACAAAGATAATAGGCAATCAAAATTTCAACAATCGATAGAACAGCGATCAACTGTGTCTGAAAATATTATAGGTATGAAGGTCCTAGATTTATATAACAAAACAATTCTTAAAAAGCTTCAACTGGTTTTGGCTTCTAGAAACATCATGTTAAAGGTATTTAACTGGATCCTTTGCATATCAATGCCGATAGCAGCATAGCCTATGGATACCTAGTCAATAGCAACCTGTCAGGCTGACTTGGCTAGTTGTTGCATTTTTTTTTTTGGTGTTTTATACCTTTATCCTCTAAAGAGAAATATCTAATCAGATAATTACTTGATAACTCTAGACTTCAGAAATTCCATCCAGTGACCAACATAGGTTATTGGAGTCTAAAAGTCGTCTAAGATAGATTTTCTTCTTACTGTTATTTAGTTGTGCACTGTGATTTTTAAATGGCAAACATACCTCAGCAATTGAAGCAGCTGCTGCAGCTGCAGCTTGAGTTTTGTGAGAAAGTTCACGAAGAAAGCGACCAAATTTACGAACAGCAACAGAAATTGCCGGAACAACAGCTAAAGCCAGCACTAGAACACATAACAACTGAAAAAATTCAGGATCTGTTCTAAATAAATAGAACCTCAAACTACTGCTTTGAAGATTAGATAATGATTACATGTTAATTTCCATGATGTTGCAAACATGAAACCAAGGCCAATAAATGCAGTTGACAAATTTCTTAGGGCCTCAGAAAGGTTAGTAGTTGCAGCATTCTTTATGATCTGAGTATCTTCTGATAGCCTGCTCAAAAGTTCCCCTGTTCGAGTAATATCAAAAAAAGCTATCTCCTGCAAAACTCATCAATAGTTATAAAAATAGTTCACACCATGATATCAGTCAATATCCAAATGAAACATGAGTGGTAAGAAAACATTTTAACTCACTAGCATAATAATGTTTTACCTGGTTAATAAGATGACTAAACAAGTTCTTTCTCAATCGAGCAACTACTCTTTCACTAGCAGAAGAAAATAACCATGCTCGCAGTGCTGTGCAAACTGATCTAGAATGGGAAACAAAAGCAATAAAAGATGATGAACCCCTTGAGATGCTTTAAAGAGACTAATAATCTACATTGAAATGAGTATTTTGCTTCTGCCAAAAAAAAGGAAAGAGTAATTTGCTTCACTGATAGGTCAAACAAAAGCATAAAAGTAAGAACTGTACCCAACTATAACAATCATAAAAATTTCTAGTATGGTGTTCCTGGCCGCAGCTAATGCTTCAGCTTTCTGTTCAGATGTTCTGATATCTCCTGACACAATATCTATTATCTTCCCTCCAAATTTTGGCTGTAGAATGAACAATTCAAGTTTATTGCAACTAAAATCACATCTCCAGAAATAAATTTAGTTATCTTAGTTTCTCCTTTCATCTCTTTTCGTGCGTGCGTTAAAGAGAGAGAGTCAACAATTAGCACAGAAAGGATACATACAATCAGTATGCTTGAAGTGGATGCAATCAAGAGAGCAACTGTTGCTAATATGAGTTTCCCTGCATCAGGCTTTGCCTGTTATATAATATAATGTTAAAATTTCAAAAATTTTCAGTTCTATGGCTCTACTAATAAGAAGTGCCAAAATTCAGCCACTTACAAGTGAAAGTACTCTAGTAAAACTCACATTTGCAGCCTGAAAATTTCAAGGAGTCATCACATCTTCACATATGAGTTGATATAGTATCTAAATTAACATTACTAAGAAGCAACATTTACCGGTACTGCATCCCCATGCTCAAGATCTGTCAAATTATCATTTTCCAAGTTATCATTCCTCTTTCTTCTCCCCTATATATGAATGAAATTTATATTAGAGAACATAACACTGAGAAAAATTTCGGATCCACAGCTCTAGAAGCAGTTTCTCAACATAATTTTCATGCTATGTTAAGCATGCAACTAATGTAAAATTAGAACTCAAAAGTCCAAGAAAAAAATAAAACAGCAGGTATGCACTGAAGAAATGACCATATAGTGATTTCAACTGGAATGTCCAGCTGTAATAATGCATGGACAATATGAAATTATGACCTAGACTACAATCAAATTCATATCATACCCAAAGTGCAAAATCACTGCAAGAGACATATTTGAAGCCACCAAACAAGCAAAGAGTGTTTCAGTGAGAATTAAAAGGGGAAAAAACTGAAACATACTACTCCTCTGTGATAACCACCTTACACTAAAGCATGTCATTAATTGTAACTCCGGACAGACAAATAACAGAATGAAATCTGAAAACCATTCAAACATAAATGTGAATCATCACATGCAAACACAATCCAAACTGTGGAAACAGTTAAACTGAATATCATCATTCAAAACTCCAATAAAAACAAAATTCTAGGCAATTAACCATGAAAGAAAAACTTTTGCAGACTCCAACAATATCAAAATCCAAGGGCAATATAGAGAACAAACTTACTGCTCGGTCTAACAGAGGAGTTCTCTCACTTCCACCGAAACGCATCCCAGAAAACCTGTCCATGAAAGTTCAATCCGGGCAAAGATAAATGCAGTAATTTTAGTTTCTAGCAAAAGGGTCAGTGCCTCAGAAGAAAATGGTGCCTATCTTGAACCAGGTTTTCAGGTTAAGGTTATAAGCTCCAAATCCAATGTAATCGCGTGAAAGGAAATGAAAGTGGGCTCTTTGGAGAAGTTGGGGAGCTTACTGCATTATCTGAGGATATAGAATCTGAGGCTTTTAAAGTAGTTAAACTTTTGGCTTTTGGAAGGTCATGATTGCCCGAATGATTTGAGTCTTGGTTGATCACTCATCTGTGACTTCTCTCATTAAGTTCACGTTCGCACGGACGAACAAAGACAAGAAGTTGTTGGATTGGTTAGTCATCACGTACGTAATGATTTTGTTACTTTTGGCCCACTGTTCACACAATTTAAAAATAACAAGTTTCTTATATAATTGTCGCTCACTTATTGTACATATTCTTTTACAATGATGCTACATGACACAGTCTCCATAGTTATTGTCTTAAACCTTTCTAGTTAAATATATCAAGCAATTACTTATGGCATCACATAGTACCCAATACTTGTGAACAGACAAGTATGGTGATATCCAAGTTAATATGTCAAGTAATACCTTATATAAATAATTCTTGAATTGGTGCTTAGGTTTTTAAATATGTTAAAAATAAATAAATTATTTAGTCTTTTAAATTAAACTATAATGTATCATGCATTTGAATATTTAAATTGATGCATGTTCTTATAAAAGTCGATGTTTTTAAAAAAGACGACAAGACATGGTGTATCACAATGGAGAGCCACGGCTACGACTCTAACTAGATGGATTGGCCAATTAAGTCAACCTCGTGTCAGGATGCCAACTTCTTGAGCGCCTCGCTTGCTAGTATGGCAAAACCAACAAAGGAGTAGGAGAATGAAGATGATTAGCGAAGGCTAACAGGCCAACGCCCCATCTTAGGTACATAATGCACCCTAGGAAGTACCCAAAGGCTCAAAATGAGTCCTATTGACATACCAAAAGACAAAAAGTCTCCCTCAACAAAGAAATTGATATCCAACTAAGCAGATTCTGGGCTCCTGGATGCCACTCCAGGCCTCATCTAGGTCCATTTTAGCTCCCTAGATTGGGCTAATTGGTATCTACTTCACAATCTAGGTTTCCACCATTCCCCAAAATTAGAGCTCTTTTGCTTTCTCCTGCCATTGAGCTCCTTTTCCTCTCTTCTGTAGAACCCAGTTTCTCAGTTTTTAAAAAAATGCCGCCTTTAACCTATCTTCAACTCCGCCGGCTCCTTTGCCACTGCCTCTCTTCTCCCGCTTCCGTTCAACACCGCACTTTTCTCTCTCTGAAACCTCATTTTACCCCTACCCATTTCCTCAAATTGCCATTTCTACCTGCTAAACCCTTCTCAACCCAAAACCCTAATCCCCAAACCCTAGATCCGATTGCTCAATCTCTCTCCACTGAACTCGTCCAGGACCCTAATATAGAACCTCTCGCCATCACCCAAAGACTCCAGCTTCACTTCTCTCACATCAAACCAACCCCTCTGTTAATCTCCCAAACCCTCAATATCTCCCCTGAAGCTGGTCGTACTGTTTTAGGGTTTAACGATTGGATTCTCTCAGACCCAGATTTCAACCACACCGACGAAACGCTGTCGTGGTTCATTGATTATTTCGGTCGAAGAAAAGATTTCAAAGCTGCCCATGATCTCCTTGTCAATCACAAGTCTGTTGCGGGGCCTAAAACTCTTCACTCCTCCATTGATAGGCTGGTTCGTGCTGGCAGGCCCACCCAAGTTCTGGGTTTTTTCGAGAGAATGGAGAAGGATTATGGGTTCAAAAGAGATAAAGAATCACTAAGGTTGATAGTAGAGAAGTTATGTGAAAATGGGTATGCGAGTTATGCGGAGAAACTGGTGAAAGACTCGGCCAATGAGATATTCCCGGACGAGGTGATATGTGATTTATTAATCAAAGGTTGGTGTGTTGATGGGAAGCTGGAAGAAGCAAAAAGATTGGCTGGGGAAATGTATAGGGGAGGTTTTGAGATTGGTACAATGGCGTATAACGCAATGCTTGATTGTGTTTGTAAGCTTTGTAGGGAAAAGGATCCATTTCGACTTCATTCGGAAGCTGAGAAAGTTTTGCTTGATATGGATTTTTATGGGGTTCCCAGAAACGTGGAGACTTTTAATGTGTTGATGAATAATCTTTGTAAGATTAGGAGAACAGAGGATGCAATGAAGTTGTTTTATAGGATGGGGGAATGGGGGTGTTATCCGGATGCAGAGAGTTATTTGATTTTGATTAGGAGCTTGTATCAGGCTGCCCGAGTTGGGGAAGGCGATGAGATGATTGATAGGATGAAGTCCGCTGGTTTTGGTGATAAGCTTGGTAAGAAGGAATATTATGGCTTTTTGAAGATATTATGTGGGATTGAGAGGGTTGAGCATGCCGTGAGTGTTTTTAAGAAGATGAAGGGTGATGGGTGTTTACCTGGGATTAAGACGTATGATTTGTTAATGGGGAAATGGTGTGCTCATAATCGTCTCGATAGAGCAAATGCTCTCTATAATGAAGCGGTGAAAAATGGGGTGCCAGTGGAACCTAAGCCGTATAGGGTGGATCCAAGATATATGAAGAAAACCAAAGCTGTGAAGAAGGAGAAGAAGAGGGAGACTTTACCTGAGAAAATGGCTAGGAAGAGGAGACGTCTTAAGCAAATTCGATTAAGTTTTGTAAAGAAGACTAAAGGGAGGACGCGCGTTGCCTAAACTTGGTTTCTGCCTTACTGAAATTTCAAGTGGAATGACAATGTCAATTGGAGTTGAAGGTTCTTTTTTGAGCTTTGATCGTTTATTTTTGATGATTTCTGTTATAACATTTTGTTCTTGCTTTTACTCTACTGTTGGCAACATTAGAAATAAAAATTATGTTATAGTAATTCTTTTTATTCAGCCTTTGCTTCTTACAACATGAGGATTGATAGTTTACGTCTTTGAGTTGTAATAAAAAGCACTTATAATTTGCGAGAAGTATTTTTCCCTTTCAACGAAAATAACTGCACCATAGAGTATGCCATCCCCAGGGTCTTTTTCCCTGACCTTCTTTGGGCTTCAATTTACCAAAGGTTGATATGATAATGTAGATGGCAAAGCTTTCGGGTCATTATAGGACTTTCAGCTTCCATTTGTTGCCTGACAGATTGACCAAATATAATAGACGTCTACCGTGGTAAATGACATTGACTTGGGTGTGGCTTATACTGAATTGATGCCCCTCTTTAGTTCGTGGAGGGTTCTGTTTCCCTCAGGCCTGAAAGCTTGTCTTAAAGCAAGATCAGTTGAATTCAATAAGTTCTCTGATTTCAGGAGTACCCTAGTTTTCTTCTAGAAATCATCTATCTAGTATCTGCTACAATGTTATTTCACATCTTCACTCGAGATGATATTTCAGTGCTATAATTTGATGGAACCATTTGAATTTAAGAAACATGTCTATTACATACAGATCTGAAGCTGCAAAGGTAGCCATGTCCAATGTTTCAGGGTTCCACCCTTACTCCCTACTCCACTGGAGTTGTGTGGCTTGAACATTTTGACGCAGAAAAATTATCGGTGCCACTTTATCTAAACTCAAATAAATGATTTCCTTGGTCCGGTTGAAAGTTCAATTCGACAAGATACCCCGAGGCGTTTTTGCATGAAAAACTCATCAAAATGAAACATGTAACCCCACGATACTTAAAGTGGCTTTGAGGCTTGAGTTCATACAACCTTATCTGCAGGACATGACTCTTCATAAATTTTCATCTTCTTACTTGATTATCTTATGTAAAAGAAACGAAAAAATAAAGACAGCACCTAATAAATCAAGGTGAAACCGAAATATTAAGCAAATGGATACTGGCATTATCAAACTGTAAAATAGGCTTACAACCGGGGCCAACTTCCCTTGGCCCTAGAACACCTTTTTTTTTCTTGCTTCGGCCAAACTAGAACACCTGAACTTACAATTTACTTATTTCCTTTTCCAGTGGATGTGTTCCTAAAACGATCAATAACTAAAACACTAATAAAAATTAGCAACTAAAATCAAATGAAATTAAATAGGGAGTGCAATGCTTGTTTCTCCTTTATTTGGTGAAAAAAAGAGAAGGGAGAAAGGTGGCTCAGGGGTCATGATGTGTACAGTGAATCCAAACGTTTGCCTCAGGATCTAAACTCTGAATATGCAAAAGAATTTTGAGACGACCCAGACACACCCATGATGCATTTATTTTTGCCAATCAGCTCACTTAAGTTCTCCAGATGATTCCATGAGCTCAGAGAATTTCCTTCCAGAACCGAACAGATCTGTCAGTCCCACAAGATATGAAGGCAGCCTCTGTTGGTGAGTGCTCAATCCAACGAGGTGCACCAATGTGGTTGGAAGGCCACTTTGCCACTTTTTCTGCTGTTAAAGCATCCCAAATAACAATCTGCATCCATCAGAGAATTATTAGCAGAAGCCAAACATAGGAGATTATATTGTTGCCACTGTAATCAGGATGTTGAACAAACCTCATTGCTAGGTTCATCTATGGATAGCACAAACTCTTCAGTATCATTAAAAACAGCCTGCAGAAAACAGATTGAGGCATGTAGTAGTTATGACCTACAGAAATCTTTAAGCTCGTAAAATTGTGAAAATGTAGACTACTGATTCATCTGGCAGAAAAAAGATTGGATGCAAAACAAACTGCCAAGATATCCTTCCAGTATATGGCAAGCATTTTTTCAGCTAGGAAATTTACAAATCCTGGGATAATTCTCTTCTTTTACCTAATAGCTAATTTGGAGGATAACCAGTTTGACCTTGAGAGCTTGGAAAAGAGATGTGACTACTAATTAGGTCATACCTTCAGCTACAATGCAGTAACTATGGAAATATTTAATTGACCTAATGACAAACAAGGATGGTTAACCCAAAAAGAAAAACAGCCCTGCATACCTGGCACCTTAATTGTGTGTGTGTAGCTCCAAGATATTGTTTGACCAATCTTCCAGTGCCTATCTCCCAAAGCTTCACGGTAGAATCCTTACCACAAGATAGAACAAACCTAGAAAGTTGATACTATGGTCAAGTTTCTTAAAACATGCCAAGGTACTAATGCTTATGACCATTTGAAATTTATGAAGCACATCTTGAGCAGCAGCATCCTAGATATTCCACACGATTAGTTCTCTAAAAAGGAAGTTTTTGCCTTACATGTACTTTCTGTCATCAATTGATTTGCATCCCATAAGCTGTACTCTGCTTCACTATCCGTTAAATCTAAAAGTAGACCACAGCCTTTGTCCAAAGAAACAATTTCTCATTTTAGGATATAAACATGTTCCCTATTTTTAACAAAATAACATATAAATCTTCATATTCTACAATTTATAGCTCATTTCATTTATAAATTAAAACTTATCCTACTTAGTAACATGATTTATAGTAGGATGTTATCTAACCACCAAATATTTTATCATCCCTACCTTTGATCCTTCGTAAAACACGCACTTGTGGCCTCTGCTGTTCCATGGGCACCAACTATGGAGCGCGCACAACTGGCACTTACTCCATCCCATAACCGAATAGCACCATCTTTAGATGCAGTAACATACATGCCACCTGTAGAAGAATACCTCACCTGCACATAGAAACAGATTGAATTACGGACTTACTAGTCTCAATTTATCTTTAACAAATGGATGAGAGGCCGGTCTAATTTTGACAATATGACATTGCATACCTGATTTATGGCTCCATTAACACCAATCTCCGGGGGATTTGCAGATAAATAACATTGGAACGTATTAACATCATACAAGTGTGCTATTGGATGATCAGTTCCTGTCAGTTTTCATCCCGACCTTGTAAGTAGCCAAATCATAGTAATAGACCAAACTCAAAAGAAAGGACTCCTCAAATAAGTTAACCTTATGTTGCTCAATATCTAGCTCATATGCTTACTAAGTTACCAGAAATCCAAAAATTGAACCAATATTTATTGAAGCACATAGTTCATAAAAGTTCAACTTACAACAACAAACTATGCCTTTTCCCTCTATATAGGGTTGGCTTTATGAATCATACTGTGCCACTACGCTCTACGTTCATAATGTTTTAATAATTTTTTTGGGAACACAAGGGTCTAACAAATTGAAAATACATATTGGTAAAAATACTAAATACTTTTGAATAATTCAAAGTTCTCTTCAAATATGCCAACCATATATTCTGAGATAATACAAACATGCTATATAACATCTGCAGCTGTATCATCAAAAACACAACACAACCCCCTATACTTTCAGTTTTATCAGACCCTCCCTGTTAAATTACAGGAAAATAGATAATATACTCTCTAAGAACTTCAAATCATGATGATTTCAATTTGACCACTTCTTATCCAGAAATAAAGTAATGGAGCATGAATCACTAAATTAACAATACTCTGCCCTACTAAAAGGTGGATCAGGTAACCTCAAAGGGTTTATCTGGGTTATGAAAATTCAATTGCAAAGCAGCATACAAGTAGTTTAATTAAATCAAATCATTTCTAAGTTTCCACGTGTAGTCTTCCACAAGAATATTCATCTAAGCTTCAAGGATAATAATGTTGCGTAAAGAAATAAGTAAGCAAGAAAAGATCAAATAATTTACCTGCAAGAAGGAAATCACCAGATGGATGGAAAGCTACAGACCGTACATTGTGAGTATCCTGGCCCATCGTAAGTGCAAAATTTATTACAATGTCATAAATACATTAAAATTATTAAATCAGAAACCATGATTGAAATTGTGTCAAAATAACAAGCAAAACCTGGATAACTCTGAAGCCTCTCTTTGCAGTAGCTTTGGAAAAATCAAAGAACCTGTAAACAAGTGTTAAGCCGAATGTCAAAATGCCAGTTAATTTGCATTCTATCTATCATTCAAAATCAAAAGTAAAGCTTAATTTTCATCATATCTATCATTAAGGAGTTATTGATGAACTAATAACGAGAGGAATATAAGACAAAATAGGAAATAATAAATAACCAAAAGTAAACCTCAAAGTTGATTAGATATAGAATAGAAGTCATACTTTATTGTGTGATCTTTTGCCCCAGATATCAGCACAGTACTCTGAGGATGGAAATCCAAATCATTTATTGGCTGCATTTGAGCAGAAAGAGTTAAACCATGCAAGTGAAAATCCTCAAGCATCTTTAATAAACTTTTAGAGCTAAGGGAAATAGAGAATATATATAAAATATAAAGTAATTTTTAACGTCTGATTCTAAGATAATCCTTTTAGACTCTGATCAGAGATTTGAAGCACAAACTACAACAAAACCAAGAGGACTATCACTTCAGCCATAAGTAATTAGAAATATCTACTAAGAAGACATACAGTTACAAGTACCATTTCCTTTATAGCATTCCCTTGATCCCAAAAGAAGCATGCATGAAAATAATATCAATATATTTTAGACACTAGATCTTTTTATTTGCTGCTCAGTGGATTTAGTGACCTTTTTCACTTGAAAGCGACCAAGACAAATACATTTATCAAAATACAAGCACCCAGATGAATTAGTGAGAAGACATGCACAAAACAAGATTTATATGAACTGGAAAGATGGGATATAATGCAAAATAATTAGGGTTTGAACTAAATTAAACATAATAAAAATGAATTTTCATAATCATGGGAATGGTTGGCATCAAGCATACTTCTGGATAAACAATTCAACAATACCTGTACATGGTCATAAAATGTCCGTATGACAGGTCGCACGGGACCATCCTTTGAATCTGGCAGCATCATTTGCTTTACTTTTGATATCTGTGCCAATTTAAATAACAGCATAGGAGTTAGATATGGTCCACGTTGAAGAAAACTGAACATAAAAATACAAGAATCATTACTTCAAAGAGTTTAATTGACATGTCAGCACTTCCAGTAGCAACAAACCTCCCGTCTGGACTAAACCTTGCACACCTGGCAATGTTCTGAAGAAGATTTCAACCATAAGTTTTACAACATTAAGTTTCAAGAAAATGTCGTAGACATATGCTAACCAACCTTGTGTTCAGAAAGATGCCTTGTCTCATGCTTTGAAAAGCTCTTTGATGAGCCTTTTGTATCCTGCAAAGCGCTGGTTTCACAATAGACATTCACTATAAGTTTCTCTGAATAGTAAGGAATGTCAAACATAAAAAGCTCAAACTCCTAACTACACATTAAAATCACAATTTCAAAATAAATTTCTAAACAAGAATGTTCATCCAGCATTGCTACATTGAAAAAAAAAAAAGCAAGATCATAGCAAACTAGTTGCGGTTCTATGAAATTACAGTTCCCTGATGGCACGAAGACTCTTTTGTTCAATGATATTATTGGCGCTTGTTTTCCTAGATTAGTTATTTAGAAGATTAATCTACTCCTTTGTACCCCCCCCCCCCAAAAAAAAAAAGGCAAAATCATAGCAAACTAATTGAAATGAAAAAGCAAGGGACTTTGGCAAAGGGTATTGCCTGAAATCAACAGAAGAAACCCGAGGATCCGGAATCGAGCCATAAGCCAAAGCTGTCCCCAAATCAAACAAAGTAGAAGAAGAAACCCCTCGTAACGTCTCATCTTTCTCCACTGCAAGACCCTGTTATCACCTTAGAACTAAACAAAACTTGCTTTGTTTTGTTTTGTTTTTAATTTTTTTTCTTTTTTCCTTCAAACCACCCAAAAAATAAAAAAAGAACCCACCTTGGCAACAAGCTCAAGAAGCTTATTAGGAGGGGCTTCAACGTCTAAAGGCGTCATTGTTGCTGAAGCCACTGCTGTTGCAGCCTAAAAAATAAAGAAAAATAAAGTTTAATAAAACTGAGAATTAAGAAAAACCAACAAAGGACAGAAAATTTGAAGAAGTTAGATTATACTAACTTGGGTGAGATTGTGGTGGCGAAGATGAGCAACGATAAGGCAATTGAGTTGCCTGTAAAGGTTCCCTTCTTGGAGTGTTTGTTCCAAGCTGTTGCCTTCCATTACTGAACCTTCCCTTAAACCCTAATTCTCTCTGCTCTATTAATGTTTTTTCAGGCGCAAAGGGATTTTTTTGCTCAGTCTTATTCAACTTTTTTTCAAAGTACTCGCTTTTTTTCTTAATAGATCGGTCGGAGTTGGAGTCGATTGTAAACTCACCATTGAACGCCGCCTTTGCCCTATCTGGGGTTATTACTTATTAGTTTCACAAGCATTGAGTTGGACAGCCCAACAGCATTTCACAGTAATGGACCATGTTTGGCCCATTTACTAGACCAGGCTGGGTTTAGACTTTCATTTCGGCTCTTAGTACCCAGCCCGGTTTCCCTCATGGTCCCCTTTTTTTTTTTTATATAGATTTTAGATTAAACAATAATAATAACAATACAAGTTAATTTTGTAATCTTTTAACTAATAGAGTTCCCTTCAAAGCTAGATGGTTTTTTTATGTTTTCTTTTGATTTCCAAAAAATAATAATCTATAAATCCTATATAGATGGATGAGTCAAACAATTTGAGATTTCATTTGGATAATAATAATTGAATTGATTGTTTTTGTATAGAATCACATGCTAACATGTGCATTTATGCATGTGATGATGATAGAAGGATTTTTTTTAATTTTATCTTGTTTGGTGGGTTCAAGATATAATCAATTTTTAAACAATCATATGTCATGTTAATAAAATATTAAATTTAATTTTGATAATTTTAAATATAAAAATATTAATCAAACGAAATCTAAATTATTATCATATTCTTTTATAAAATTATTACATTCAAATTATATGATCAATTGTCAATTTGACCAAAACTTTACAAATATAAAAACATCGAATCCCATCAAAACTTTATAATTAATTTTATTTGGACTAAAATAATCTTAAAATAGATAATTTTTTAAAAAATTTTATATTGATCGAGTTAACCATTAACCATATAATTTGGACGTAAAAAAAATCATATTCCAATTTTCAGATTTGCAACTAAAAGAAGTATAGCTTTTGAAGGTTAGTAGCATAAAATACCATAGTTTAGCTAACTCTAAATTTCAATCAAAACTACTGTCGGCAAAATCTTTATTCAAAAATAGACACATGCTCATGACATAATTGCCACCTAATTACAAAAATTAAAAGGAATGGTCCACGCTTTGGTGTGATTGTAGGAGAGGGAGAGGACAAATAATTTGGCAACCAAAAAAAAAAAAAAAGAAATAGTAAAGGTTTGGTGGTTGGTTGGGCCATGAACTTTTGGACAAACACCAAAAAGAGACAGGGAGAAAACGTCTCCTTCTGCTGCAAGTCATTTGGATTCTTCCCACCGACAGTGGTAGCAAAGGGCAAGAGGGTCTTATGCTTCTTATGACCCACTTGCTTCTTTTTTTGTTCCTTTTATACAATAATATAATATAAAATAACAAAATTAATAAAATTAAAAAATATATTTTATATATTTATATTGATATAAATTATAATACATAATTTTTAAATAAAATAAAATAAAATATACGAATTATCTATATTTTATATTATATATTTATACGAATTATTATATCTTATTTAAAAGTTGTGATTTTTAAGTATATCCTTTTCCTAATTATTTGGGTTCCATTACAAGGATACCCTTAACCTTTCGACACAATTACATCGTGAGGCTAAATTGCAACTTGTAAGCATGAAAAAATAAATAACTTTCTAGTAGTAGTTTTAGTTTATGAAACCTATCTATTTGTTTATTTTTGTTGGATAGATAAGTTTTATAGTTTTTCCTAACAATGACAAAATATGTTAATGTTAGGTAAGACCCTAATCAATAATCTTTAAGTAAAAACCTAATTGAATAATAAATTATTCACGTAAAATATAATAATCCAATTTATTATGACATTTAATTTGTTTAGATTCTTGAAAAAAATAAAAATATATTAATTCTAGAAAATTATAATCAAGTCAAAACTTAACACTTAAATAAATCAATCAATTTTAATATGACGAATAAATTAATCTCAAATACAATTTATAAACATTTTTATTCGATTTTTAATAAATTCAAATAAATATTTACATTTGCAAATACTCCCCTTTAATTTTTTTGGGTGTTTACATAATCAATCCCATAAAGCCATTGGTCCCTTATAAATTTCTCTTATATTTTACGTATAAAGACTCTTCTTTATTTATAAATCCATTAACTTGTTCATCAATTAAACTTAATGGTCAAACGTTATCTTTAATAAATCTAAAAAATATCTTAAAATAAAATTTTTATCAAATTTTAAAAAATTGTGAGTGAATATTTCAAAAATATATAATTTCCCATTAATTTATGTATACACGATTAATATAAATAAAAAATTATTTATAATATTCAAAATCATAATTATTTATTTATTTTTAATTTAAGATATTTCGATATTCGATGATTATTTTGAATGTTAATTCATAATCGAATCGGATTGAATTATAAAAAAAAAAGATAAAAATTTTTAAATTTATTTTTTTAATTCATAAGATTTAAAATTAAATTTTTATTTAAAAAATTTATATTTTTTATCACTCGAATCATCAATCGTTGATAACCTAAATTTATTTATCAATAAAATGAATAAAAACATTTAGAATAATAATATTTTTTGTATACAATTAGAATGAGTGATATAAAAGCGTCAACTATTGTCGAGTTGCGAATCAAGTACAGTTGTTGCCTATACAAATGATATATGCAAAAGACTCTACAATAGTGTGCTTCACCAACTACTTAAGCTCTAATTACTAACATAACCATTCACAATACAGTTAAGTGAACAATAGAGCAATTTTGTAAATCCTTTTATGAAAATATTATATTGAATAAATAAATGAAAGTGCAAGATTTTTCTTGAGTTTATTTTTTTTTTATAAAAAAGTTATAGTTTGATAATAAAAAAAATATCTTAAATGATAAAATTTAAATTCAATACATATTAAATATTACTTATTAAAAATGAATGCATAACCTAATTGAATTAATCCTTCAACTTTGTTTGTTTTTAACTTACAAGGGATATTAAATATAATGATTCCTTTTGGATTATTATTTAATGAATTTCTATTTGGTGGGCAATGTAAACTGAATACAGAAGGGAGATTCTAAATTGTGTCTATTAATATTTGATAAGGTGATATTTATAAAAACGAATTATAATTCATATATTATTTTTTAAAATTCAATAAAAAGAATGCATTAAATTAAAAATATTCATAAAATATTGCTAATTAACTTTTTTTTTAAATTTTTCTCATGGAAAATAATTTAAGTAAAGAAGGGCATCATGGTGATTTCAGTCTCTGCATGTTAACTAATGACAGCTGCAGCCTATGGCATTGATGGTTGGATCTCTCTTGGTCTCAGACACAACTAAAATTTTTTTATAAGTTCACTCGAACTCAAAAAAGAGCTCTCTTTACATGTTAGAAGGATCTCTCTCTTTCTCTTTCTCCTTTTCTTGTGCAAATCTGAAGCTTAATCACAGCATAAAACATCGGATAAACTATCAAGGTCTGAAGCAAGACATGGAGACTGTTTTGTCATCACCAATTGGATCCACTTCCAAGCTCAGTAGCTTCATCATTTTGCTTCTCTTCTTGTTTTCCTGCTCCACTTTCACTTCCACAGGTATGTTTCCGATCAAATTCATGGCTTTTCTTTAATGGAGTGTTTTTTTTTTTTTTTACTAAAAAAAATTGAATCTGGGTTTTGGTTAAATCCTTCAATATAGTTTGGAGCTTGACTGTTTTCATTAGGAGGTTGATTGCTTATTATAATGGTACTCTTTTTTTTTCTTTTTTTAATTTTGGCTTTGGCATCTAAGTTTGTTGATATAAAGGCAAAATGGGTTGCTGAAAATAGTTTCAAAACTTGATCTTATAGTCTTTTTTTTTTAATTTTTTGTTGATGGGATTGGGAAGTTGGATTGAGTTATCTGATTTTGGATGCTGAAATGAATTTGAAGAGAATGGGAAAGGTCCAATTGTATTTTAACCAATTAGAAAGAGAAAAATCTACCATGAATGGAGATCTGTGCGTTCAAAAGTGTAACATCAAATTGTACAGTGTTCACCGACACAGAGATGACCACCATTGACCCCTAAGATTTTGAAATGTAGTGTCATTATGCAAGAGATACTTATTGAAGTTTAGAATTGAAGTCACCATCATAACAATCATACCTCTAATACACAAAAAGAAAAAAGGAAAAAAAATGGAGGCTTACTATTTCTTGTATGGTGTAGCATATTGAATGATGGAATTGTGAAAAGGCTTTAAATCTAAGCCATTGGGCTTTCTAGGCATTTTGCAATAAACTATTTATTTGGATCTTCAATCTGTCCAGAACTTGCAGGAAGTAGTGCTACACAGGCCAAAGGTCTATACCAGGGCCAAGGCCGAAAGGTCAAACTGCTATTGATGTGCAAACTTCATTTTTTGCATGTTAATGTTGGATTTGTGATCCAGACCTTAATTAACTATGGTTTTTGTTTGAAACTTAATGCCTTAAACATCTTGTAATTTAAAGTTTCGGGATCTTTTGTTGGCTGTTTTTGCAGAAGCTTATGATGCGCTTGATCCAACTGGCAATATCACCATCAAATGGGACCTAATAAGCTGGACCCCAGATGGCTATGTTGTAAGTATTACTGAAGGGTCAGCGTTCCGTTCATTTTTACATGATAAAAGGCTAATAACTTACCTTCAAAAATCAATACGTTTTTGAAACCACCATCAACACTCTAACAGAAGTTTAAAGATTGAAGCATTCTTTCAATTGTTTTCTCTGTTTGATCTAATTTAAAGTTTTCAAACGACATTAGTGATAGATTTAATATTGTGTATATAACTGCCATGTTAAGAACAGAATAATCAATGCGGCATTGCTTACTGTGTTTTCCATTTTCTCTTAGAAGCTCACTAAAAGTGTATATTCTACTTCAACACTTTCAGAAATATAACAATTAGGGTAAAAATTTACCAATCCAGCATTGCAGTTCCATGATTTTTTATTTTAAAGTTGAAGAAGTTATATTTTCCTTCTTTTTTGGATTTTATAATATTTATCCTTTATGATTTTGGCAGGCTGTTGTTACAATGTACAATTTCCAACAGTATCGCCATATTCAGGCACCTGGTTGGACATTAGGGTGGACATGGGCCAAAAAGGAAGTAATTTGGAGCATGATGGGAGGCCAAACAACAGAGCAAGGGGATTGTTCAAAGTACAAGGGAAACACCCCTCATTGCTGTAAAAAGGATCCAACAGTTGTGGATTTATTGCCTGGAACTCCTTATAACCAGCAGATAGCGAATTGCTGCAAAGGTGGGGTGATAAATTCGTGGGTTCAAGACTCTGCCAATGCAGCAAGCTCATTTCAGGTTAGTGTGGGTGCTGCAGGAACAACTAACAGAACTGTGAGACTGCCTAGGAACTTTACCCTAAAAGCACCGGGTCCTGGATATACTTGTGGGCCTGCCAAGATTGTGAAACCAACTCAATTCATGACATCAGATAAAAGGAGAAAAACTCAAGCTATGAGTAAGTTACTTGCTAAGCTGAAGTTCTGCTTTTCTATTCCGTACTAATCAAGTCAGATATGCCCGTTTTTTGGCTTATTTTATAGATCCGTCATCGTGCAACACATTACCGATTCTCATTTCAAACAATCTATATGGTTACATACAAACTTCATTTATACTTTTGCAGTAAAACAATTTTAAAACTTAGTATGATGTATGCTCTATATATGAATTTATGTAAAAAATTATCAGACTTACATAGTTACAGGTGAAGAAACTTAAATAGTAACAAATAGAACGATTTGTTCTCCATGGCCAACTAAAGCTTGAACTAAAACGACAATAAAGTGAACTACTAAGTGTACTTTTTTATTAGTAATAATTCAGCATGGAGGAAGGATTTTCTAACTGCAGTCCTTAACTGCAACTCATTGCAGTGACATGGAATGTTACATGCACATATTCACAATTCCTGGCTCAGAAGACACCTACTTGTTGCGTCTCTCTCTCTTCCTTCTATAATGACACCATTGTAAGCTGCCCAACATGTGCTTGTGGCTGTCAAAATATCACCGAACCTGGGAGTTGTGTAAGGTAAGCTATCTCATTTTCCTATCCCTTTTTTACCTCTAATTATCTTTTACGTTTTGCTGTTTTTAAAATTTTTTTTATCTGTGGTGGCACCTTGCAGTAAAAGGTCTCCACTTTTAGCTTCAGCTGTTTCTGGTCCAGGCAAGTCTAGTAATACACCTCTGCTTCAGTGTACGAGCCATATGTGTCCAGTCCGAGTTCACTGGCATGTTAAGCTCAACTACAAGGAGTACTGGCGTGTGAAGATCACAATCACCAATTTCAATTACAGAATGAATTACACACAGTGGAATCTAGTTGTGCAGCACCCCAACTTTGACAATCTTACCCAACTTTTCAGCTTTAATTACAAATCATTAACTCCTTATGCTGGCTTGAGTAAGTCTAAGTACCGTGATTTATTTCTTTGTAGTAGGCAGCATCATTTCATTTTCTGGAATCCGTTGATAAGCTCTGTTGTATTTCTAATATATACTTTGCAACCATGAACTAAATAAACTTTTCTTATGCAGATGATACTGCCATGTTATGGGGAGTTAAGTTTTATAATGATTTGCTGTCAGAAGCCGGCCCTCTTGGGAATGTGCAGTCAGAACTATTATTCCGAAAAGACGCATCAACTTTTACTTTTGAAAAGGGATGGGCTTTCCCACGGAGGATATATTTTAACGGTGATAACTGTGTCATGCCACCTCCAGATGCCTATCCGTGGTTGCCAAATACTGGTTTTAGGCCAGTTATCTCTCAACTTCAGTCAGTTGTGACAATCTTGGCATCAATTGTTTTCTTGTGGGCTTTTGTGTGATGAATAATGTCAGCAGAAACTGCTAAAGCTATTTGTTTGACATCCTGCAAATCCCATTTAATATTATGAAACTGAAGCTTATAATGATCCACTTGATGGGGTTGGAATAGTGTTGGTATGGCAACATAGCATGCTACAAGCGGGTTCAGGTGCACAACCTCCTGTTCCTATAGCATTTTGGTGTATTATTTATGTATTCAGGTTTGTAATTTACACCATTTCTTTTTGGAGTTAGCTGCTTTGTTGTATGTTTATTGGCATCATACACATGATCCATTTGTTTGTAGTATATGCAGAAACAAGTTCATAGCATTGTATTCAGGAACATCACCAAGAAATTCGTCGATATATTGTTTGTTGTGTTCCTATTGTACTCAACTATAAAAAAGTATTTTTAGCCGTAAGGAGTTTCTAGACTTTGCCTAATACATGCCTCTCCGGGCAGATTCAAGTAGATTTATCTACGTACGGTGTAGTAAATGCATGAAATTTAAATTTTCACAGCTTTTCAGTGGATTCGAATTCAAGTAATAAAGAGCCCATTCTCTTTGCCACCTGAACCAATAGTCCAATGGTCTAAATAAGAGTATCGTACATACCGAATACCATGTAAAATGCAGAAGAGAAAAAGGCTAATTGATTAATATCAATTGACATTTAAGCTACACGAGAGACAGAGTAAGTGAGACAATTAAATTTACACCATGATGCATCTCAAAAAGGGGAATTTCTAGATCATGTGCATTTAGTTTATTTTTTTCACAACTATCAAAAATCATCCCATCCTGATCAAATCCGCAAGTTTCAAGAAATGAGTTATGATGTATACCTGTATCGAATGAAGGTCCGACGCAAACAAACCACTCTTCTTTATCTGTTGAAATAGCTTCTGAAAATTCTAAATTGTCAACATACACAAGAGGACTGAGAACGCCATTGTCAATATGGTAATTGGATTTACATGGGCAGAGTTTGGTAGAAAAGGGTAGGTATCAGGAGGAGGCAGCAAGCATTCATCCCCATTAAAGTAGACTTTCCGAGGAAATGCCCAACCATGCTTGAAGGTAAATGTGTCCTTGTTTTTCCTAAGGAGTACCTCGGACTGTACATTTCCTTGGGGCCCTGCTTCCATTAATAGGTCATTGTAGTATTTCATGCCATAAAACATGCCGGTATCATCTGCAAAATATCACAGGATTGCTTCCAGGTTAGTTCTGCAAGAGTTCATCAAACATAAATGATTTTCAGGACTCACTTATGGCTTCATAGGGCACTAGAGGCTTGTAATCAAAACTAAAGACTTGGGTGACAGCGTTGAGACTGGGATGCTGTGCAACAAGAGTCCACTGCGTGTAGTTCATCCTGTAGTTAAAATTAGTGATGGCAATCTTTACACGCCAGTAGTCCTTGTAGTTGAGCTTCACATGCCAATGCACTCTTATAGGGCACATGTGATGTGTGCATTGTAGCATTGGTGCATTGTCTTTCCTTGGAGTGTTTATTCCTCCCTTGTGTGCCTTCTTTGAATCACTCCTGTACAATCCAATCATCACGAGCATTGACCACCGAGAATGAAGTTATCGTGTGCATTAATGAAATGTTAACCAGGTGTAGAAAATGAATGAGAGGCTTACATAACACAGTTTTTTTTATTCTGGCAACCGCAAGCGCAGGTTGGGCAAGGTGTGATAGTCTCATTATAGAAAGATGAGAAGGAAACACAACAGCTCGGGTTCCTTGAGGCAAGAAATTGAGAATAAGTGCATGTCACATTCCATGTCACTGCATATGATGGAAAACATTAGCTATCATATAGTGATTTATTCAGTTTCCAAAAATTCACCAGAATAATTTGAAGTGAAATAATGCTTACTCAATGCCTGAGTTTTTCGCCTACGATCAGCTGTTAAGTAGACTGTGGAAGCCACAACCTTTGCAGGGCCACAAGTGTACCCTGGCCCCGGACCAAGCAAAGTAAAATTTGTGGGTAGTTTTACTGTCTTATTCGAAGTTCCTGCAAGTCCAACACTCACCTGAAAGGCCGAGACTGAACCTATAGGATCTTGTCCCCAAGCTGATAGTACGCCGCCTTTGCAACAATTGGAGAACTGCTGGTTGTAAGGAACTCCAGGTAGCAAATCAACCACTATAGGATTTCTCTTACAACAGTGAGGTACATTTCCTTTGAACTTGGAACAGTCTCCTTGCTCTGTGGTTTGAGCTCCTACCATGGACCATATCACTTCTTTTTTAGCCCATTGCCACCCTAGTGTCCAGCCAGGGCTCCTGATGCTACGATACACTTGGAAGTTGTTCATTGTAACCGCTGCCTGGTATAGCATTTATCAAAAGAAACATATTGTCAATGCACAACATGATTTGGGGTTCTCCTTTATTTATTTTTTAATCATAAGAGAATGTATTTGGATTCTCTCTCTATATTGATTTTTCTTATTTAAAATGATAATAAACGAAGTAAAAGAGTCATTTATTTGCATAACAGGGAATATAGTGGCTGTAAGATTTCAGTTTTGCTTTTATCCCTGGTAATTCTTCCATGGCGTATAGGTTAACCTTAACCTTGCAAATTTTGCCAAACTGATACGGCTGATTTGGTATTTTACACTCTGTAGTTGATTCCTATAATGAAGTTATATGGATAGGAAAATCTGAGTCCAGTTGGTTCATGCAGCCACCCTAAAGAATGACATTCAGCAAATTAAAGTTCAAAACTCAGCACTTGCAATTCATTCCCTCTTCCCCAGGCTGTGGCTATAAATTATACGGATAAGGAAAGTTCATGCTTAAGATAACTTTCTTAAGCATTAATACCTTTTAAAGTCTTGATTCAATTGAAACTACTGAACATAGGAACTTCAGTTCTAGGAATGAATATGACAGTATGACTGGCAATCTTTCCTTTAGAATCCAATACTAAATTGGGAAAATCGCAAGCTGACATGTTAAACTCACCACATAGCCATCTGCTGTCCAAGAGACAATATCCCATTTTATTGTTATGTTTCCAGTTGGATCCAGTGGATCATATGCAGCTAAAAGCACAGAAACAGGAGTGTGAAATCAGTGGCAATAAATAGATCAAACATGAAGTTACTTACAGGAAAAACATTCTGAAATTTGAATTTGATGTGTTGAGAAAGAGCTTTACCAGCATGAGGAAGCATTACAAGAAATAGAACAACTAGACGACACATGGACTTAATTTCTAGAAACGAGAAACATTTTCGACATTGATAATGACTTATGTAAGATGTTTTGGTAGATTGAGCAAATCCCATTTTCTGGAATTTCACTTAAGTGCCAAGCTCCTGGCAAGAACTCACAGGAGACTGGAAGTTGTTTGCATTAGTGCATTGTGTTAAAAAGGAAATGGAAAGTCTATATTGGCAAAGAATACTGCTTTGAAAATGTCTTACCAACTGGTTGTTAATATTTCATGGGATATTTTCTTCTCTTTTGATACATTAATTTAAAAAAAAAGTTTTCTGCATCTTGAAGCAAAACTCTAGCAAGGAATGATGGAAAAGCTGGCTGGAGATTTTGAAGGTTTGAACAGAACTGCACAACGTTTATTCAATGTTTCACAGTGCTGTGGTGGTCACTTATATGTGCTTTAGCTCATGCGAATCTGTGGAAATGTCAGTACTGGACTGCTTCAACAGCAAGTCTTTATCTATTTCTAGTTTCTACTGAACTTTTCCCTCTTTTAGCCTATTCATTTTAAGGATGTAGTGATGCTTATTCCCCTTGAATACATATCCAGTTGTCAAGTCTCGGGCTCTCAAGCAATCTACAAACCGATTCTTTTACTCTTTCTCTTGAGAGTTTTGTTTCAAAATATTTATTAATTGGATTGTTCTCTTGTTTATTTTTTATATCATCCATATATGTGTTTGAATGCAAAAGCAATAGCAACAATAAGATAAAATCGACTCCCATAATTGAAATATATTTTTATTTTTCATTTTTACACCAAAGACAATGGACTGCTTTAGGGGTCCAGTGGTTCATTGAATCCTTCCCTCCAGTCTAACTATAAGGTAACCGAAGCAATTACATCATGATGTGCTATCCAAAGGCATTCTACTGTGCAAGTAGCCCCAAAAAGAGGCTGGTGGAATCCAATTAAAAGGGGTTATATGGTTCAACCTCTTATGTCAAGCTGAATATAGCAGATTTAGCTACTTTTTCCACCCCATCCAGACAATAGGGGTGCTGGGATGGAGAGAGTAAGGCAAAATTTTCTTTCTTTCTGAATATGATATCTCAGCTTAATTTAAAGACAAATGCGCAAGAAAACAAAATTAAAGATACAAGGTAGCTGTCTCTTGTATCCATTGTTGTGTGTCCTCAGATAACCTCTTAACCACTCACAGAGTTATACATAAATGTGTAGGGTTATTGAAAGGGAACCAAAATCTGAAAAGTAAAACTAGACATTTTTCTTTGCACCAAATAGGTATAAATTTCCTACCTTTAATGGCATATTAGACAGGAGTTGAGCAGTTATAAGCAGAAGCAGAAGGCATTATGCTGATCAAGCTGAAATAGCTTTGGGACTCTGATCATGCACATTTACCATTACCAATTGGGACATGTTTTTGTTACTGATATTGATGAGCTGAACATCCAAGAAATTATTATATTATGATCAAGCTTATAAGAGCATAATATATATGTATATATAAAGAAAGGTGTGAAATTTAGAAAAGTGAGTTGCTTATATGAGCATCATTACCAATATTATGAAAATAATTAAGTGGACAAATACAGACATCTCATCTGTGAAAATGACTTTGTCACTCATTGGATAGTAGCCCCAATGAAATCTCTACCTCATCATTCCTCAGCCTGTCCCTTTCTTAGGTTAAATGTTGCAGGACATTAATCCCAAACCTTTTACTAGCATTCCTGAAAGCTGAAATGTGCTTTTCAAATATAAATTGGTACATTACCTAGCGGAAAATGATATTTTTGGAGCATTTCAATTTTGTGCAAGATTAAATGTATAGCAATTTGTTATAACATAAGATATCATGTAAATCATGCAATTTTTCTCTTGATAGCTCTATATTTGAAATAAATACAGTTTAATTAATAATTCAGATTGGTGTTTGGTGGTTCGGTTATCAACTTGTGCCCAATTAACCTATGTAGCTTGACATTTAGAATGTGTCCTACAATCATCCGTATAAATGAGTCATGCTATTTGTAAGTTATTTGAGTTTAATTTGTTAATCGAATTTGAACTTAATCCACTCAAATAATGAGTTAAGTCGAATGTGAGTAAATCGAATATAAGTAGTTTAATATCCAACTCGAAAGCTCGTAAGTCTAATTAAGTTTAATTAAATTTTTATTTTTTAATATATTTAATATATACATATAAGTAAATGATAAAAATATAATATTTAATATCAATATTTATAATTTTATCAAACCTAATCAAGCTTACCAAGAGTTACTCAATTAAATTACGAGCCGAGCTCTAGTATAAAAAAAGCTCCATCAAGGTTGAGCTTCAAATCTTGAATTTTCTAATGGAGCTGAACTCGAGTTCGGTAATGTACTGATTCAATTACATCACTACCCATAACTCATGAAAAAATACATATAGGAGGTATTATTTTTCTCTTGTAATTGAAAATTTAGTTACAAAAATTCATTTAACTCAAAGCAAAAAAACTTAATGCAATAACATTTGCTGATGAGTCATTATATCTCATCTCATTTCTTATACCACCGAAAAATAGCTTATATTTTCCTATTGTGTCTTTGTGATGATAATGATGATGAATCTAGTTTAGTATCATAAATAGTACAACAACTATTTTGATTCTTGCCAAAACCCAGATCCAGTAAAACTAAAAGAGGTTCTTTGGAAGATTCAAATGCTGTCATAGCTGTCAGCCATGAGTGGATAGAAGAGATCATTATTGGTTTCTGTACAAAATCAATGCACACTTTTCATCTAGCCTGCTACTTCAACCCTTCATTTCCCTGATGACATTGGATATATAGGTACATAGCCGCTGCTAAAGATGTCACTGGCTAGCTTGTTAAAAGTTTCTTTCAGCTTTCCCTGGTTTCAGTCCCTTCAAATTGTCACCAAAAGACTAGCAAAACCAAAAGCAAAAAGGAAGACATTGTAGATGATGCAATTATATTTGAATTGGCAGAATTTGGTAGGTAAGGATATTCATCAGGAGCTAGCATCATGCATTCATCTCCATTGAAGTATATTTTCCGGGGGATGCCCAACCCTGCTTAAATGTGAATGTATTCATGTCCTTTTGAAGAATCAACTGTGACTGGAAGTTTCCATCTGGTCAGGCTTCCATTAGAATGCCATTACAGTACTTCAAACCACAGAACATATCAATGTCATCTGCAGATTCAGAATAGCCAAAGGTTAGCCTCCACAACTTATGGTCATTTCACCAGAGAATGAGTGTCTTATCCTGCAAATCAAACCAGTAGGAATGGCAACACTAGACTAACTTGTAGATTGGAATTGAATGAGCGGCTTGTAGTCTAAGCTAAAAACTTGAGTGATGTTGTTGAGATTTAATACAATGAGCAACAAGCGCCCATGGTGAGTAGTTCATCTGGCAGTTGAAATTGGTGACAGTCTTCTTCACTCGCCTATACTCCTTGTAATTGTGCTGCACATGCCAATGCACACGAATCGGCACATGTGATGTCCACACTTTATCTTTTTGGTATTTTGATTCGTCGATCTGTTCATTCCTGCAAAAGTTCTAATCTCTGAATTACTCCTCCATTACACTCAAGCCATGACATAGATACCTTTATTCAAAAGAAATATCAAAAGGTTCAAACTGCATTACACTGTTAAATTTTCTATTCCCCCACTGAAAATTAAATTTCTGTATAGTTCAATTATAAGGTGTAGTTTGATAAAAAGTACTAACATTTTTGTTTAGCTTCAGAATTCAAGTTTGAGATTGGAAAAGAGGCAAAAAGCAGTTTTAAGCTCATTTTTCTCCAAAGTCCACACTTTTTTACTTTTATGTAGCCAGAAGCTAAATTACCTATAACTTCAATGAAACAGAACAAAAAACTGAAATCATATCAGCCCATACATATATATATATATATAATATCCAATTACTAAGTAGAAGTGTCTGAAAGCAGCTTTAAGTTCATTTTTTCCAGATTCATGCTTTCAATATTTATTTGCAGGCAGATCATAGATCACCTATAAATTTAATAAAGAACAAACTTACTCCATGCTTGAGTTTTTCGTCGACCATCAGCTGAGATAAAAACTGAGAATGGTACTTTTTTTGCTTGGCCGCATGTGTAGCCTAGACCAGGACCAAGCAAAGCGAAATTCCTTGGCAGTGTCGCTTGTTTTATTGGAAGTACTAGCACTCCCAACACTCAGCTGAAAGGAGGAAACTGCGGCTGAAGGGTCTTGGCCCCATGAGGACACAACACCTCGTTTGCAGCAGTTGGCAATCTGTTGCTTGTACGGGACTTCAACAGTTTGGAGGAGCCGGAGCAGCTCTGCGTCATTCTTCAGCAAGGCCGTCATGAGGACACAACACCTCCTTTGCAGCAGTTGGCAATCTGTTGCTTGTACGGGACTCCAACAGTTTGGAGGAGCCGGAGCAGCTCTGCGTCATTCTTCAGCAAGGCCGTCATGAGGACACAACACCTCCTTTGCAGCAGTTGGCAATCTGTTGCTTGTACGGGACTCCAACAGTTTGGAGGAGCCAGAGCAGCTCTGCGTCATTCTTCAGCAAGGCCGTCATTGAGGAATTATTGTACGGGACTCCAATTTTCTTTCTAACCTGCTTAAATTGTCTTAAGGGTTTATTTATCTTCAAAAAATGAAGGTTAATACATTTGGTAGTCTTAAGATAATATGATTTATTCAAAGTAGTGCAGAAACAATGCTCTACAAGATGAATCTTGCCATTTGGCAACATGAGACAGAAACATTGCCATAGAATTATATTTTCTACCTCTGATATTAGATTGCAGTCCTAATATATCACCATGATATTGATAATCTCATAAATTGAAAGTTTATTACATTGATGTGACCCTTTCTTGTGATTGCTCAGTTCAGCGAGAAACGTTCTCAAATGCTCATTCAAAAACATTCCTGTAATTGCAAACCTACATTGTAATAAACTTTGGATTTATAATTTGGATTATTAATCTATATATATATACTGATAAATAGTGAATTTTTAAACTATTTTGATAAACTTTTTCCATTGAGTAAACATTTTACAAGTAATTTTATATCTTTTTCGGCAGCTAGAAACCATCTTTAATTGATACTACAGAAGATGAACATACAAGAAATTAAAAATAGTAGTTGTCAATGACAAAACATATATAATTAACATAAAAAAAAAAAAAAATCAACGAACAGATGAAGAAAAGCTTTTGAGGAGCATGAAAGGAAAAGGGGAAAATCCCCCGAAACAATAAAAATGGATGGTAAGGGAAAGAAACTCACATTCCCACTTCATCATATGATCAAAAGTAGATGATGAAGATGGAAAATTGAAGA